TATTCCTCTGAGGACATTTTGATTGTTTTCTGTAACGCCGAGTAAAACTTCCTTCGTTTCTGTGTTTCCAGTATCAGAAACTGGAGTCAAACGTTTCCGGCAGACCAGCTTTTGACGCAAGTTGTTCCTTCAAAGTTGATGACCCTTCAAACTAAGCAGCACAGCAATAAGAGTGCCTTCTTGGCTTTCCCGTGATGCTATTTTGATCCTTCGTTGTGGGCATTACCATCTGTGCAAACAAGAAAAGTGCGAGATTACCCAAGGTGACACAAAACCGCTTCAGTTTAGCGTAAATGAAACAAAATACCTCTCAAGATTCCTGGACTATTTAGCGAAACGGGATAGGAAATTTAGACGATACAATTACCCAACATACAACATAAAAGTGAAGAGAAAGGTTGCAGAAACACGCCTCGCACTCGGCCAAGAACTTCCATACAGTTTAATGATGCATTGCGCTACGCTCTCTTGCAGTCCCTCACGGCCTATAAGCTACCACAATTGGCAGAGATGTTGCAAGCTTCTCAATCAAAGCTGTTTTACTAATTTATTGTAATTTTCCATAATTTGTGCGCTCCATGAGTCTACAACAGTTTGACCACTGTGATGACGAATATCATTACTGATAAGGGTACAGACCATACTAAAACCACTGTCGATTTGTTAAGTCTAACAAGATGAATTAGGACTGTGAGATTTTGCAAATATTATAAATGGTGTACTGAAAGTAGTGTAATTGACATTTCAATTCAATGGGGACAGCTTTTTATGTAACCGGCGGCATGTATGTGCATTATCGATGCTGATAGCGTGGAGGATCGTTTTGGAAGAATTCTTTATTTAATTTGCAAGTGAAAGTTATTGTGCTAATATGAGGTGGAATATAAATACAAACAGGTTATCAAATATATAGGAAAAAGATGTAGTATATATATCTGTACAGTTGTATTAAAGGAACATCATAGCGCGTTGTCTGCGTAGCTTGCGGTTTTGGGCGCGTCATGGAAACTCTTAAACCGCACACAAAATTTCCGACTCCTTGGGCTAAATCGTGTGGGTTTCTTTATTTAGAATTTCCTAATGGCTTTGAAGAAGTGAGGATGGCTAAAAATAATTTTGCTATCTTTGAACACAGTTCTCTGACGTATTGCAGCAGCTTTACAACTTAGTCATTTGTTTCCTTCAAAATGGTATCGGTAAAAAAAAACAAAATTATCTCTAAATTAAAAGTGTCAATTCCGGTTGCTCTCAGTCGATTGTAAGGATGTTTATAAAGCTTCGCAGAAATATGAATCTTGATATACGTGCTTATGGATATATAAACTCGATACAAACGAACCTATTAAGCGGTCACCCACAGAACAGTTCCACAGATTAAGGGTTTTTAAAAAGACGATATAAAATTAAGTTTTATGCCATAATTGACCTCATAATGTACAGAATCTCGCTCAAAATACTACTTATTTTGATTTTGGAAGAGAAAGATAGAATTTTCACGAAAGATTGATTATTCTTAGTTTTATTTCGGCGGTTTGGCTTTAAGTGACAGTTCACTACAGGTAGAATGCAATATAAACAGGCCGTTGGGACTTAGTAAAGGATAACCGCGACCGCTTAATAGACTTGATAGAGGTGAAAATTACAGTGATTAGGGAGTTAAAGTCCACAACGTCAAAGGGAACCGGGAAACGTCACTGAACAAAAGATTTAATGAACAGAAAAATGGCTGTGCACGAGCATTATAAATCTTTGTAAATTTTTGTGCTTCCTCTGCCAAACAACAACGTGAAATTACCAAACTTTGCCTTGTCCTTGAACGACGACATCTAATTTTATAATTTCTATTTCTCAGTTAACGCTGTGTTCCATATTCATTTCGAGATAGTTTTTACAGTGAGAAACACACTAAATGACTTTGGGGTATCGCGAGATTCGTAGGTAACCAATGTTGTCGACCAACGGCGTCGCAGTGATCGTTTCTTTACTCTCTAAGGAGGGGAAATAAATACCGGGTCACCGCTGAATACGGTGCCGCCTATACAGGTTCGAGTTGTTCTAGTATCCTGTGGTGTTACTCTGGTAGCTAAATATACCAGAGAATTGACTACACCATGGTTAGAAATAATAAGCCTGATTAGCTTATATGTTTCGTTTACCCATTTCAGGCCGCTTTTGTAAATGATGCGTACATATGCAAATGAATAAAAGGAAATTTCAAAGAAGAACTTTGAAAGAAACAGTTCTCTACAGAGTTTTACCACATGACATGAAATGGGCAAGCAAAACTGAAAGGCTAACGAGGGCTACTGAGCAGTTTTTGGCGCTATTTTTAAGGGCACAAACAAAAAGAGTGATAGGGTCAACCGTGAAGGAAGTTGTATTAGAAAGGACTAAACAATTTTTGGCCTATATTTAGCGAGCCATAACAAGCAACATCATCGCCCGCGGGCAAGTAATTACGGGCTATTACGAATCAACTGTTTGAATGCGTTGTTTTTTTGTCGCTATAAATTCTTTGACAGCCGCCGTTCACTCGGTCAAATGAAATTATGCGTGCTCGGAATGGTTGATGGTGATCTGGCTAATTCGATATAAACGGATCCAAGTACAGATTGACTCAATATTTGTTGAACAACGTTAGGACTCGGAAGGAAAATACGCTGAGCCGACGCTGTGGCGTTTGATTGGTCTGTCACGTCATTTGAACCACTGGCGATCTTACCAATCAGGATATCTCACGACGCTTCATGTACGTCAATCCTAGCATCTCAGCGATTGCGGTTTTATGCCGTTCATCGCTTAAGTGATACCTACCATACCCCTTGCCTATGATTGGTCAAATCACACACAAATTAGAAAAGATTTGTCGTAAAACTTACCATACGGCGCCGCATCAAAAAAGATTTTATTTATTGTTATCGGTGTCAGAAGTGCAGCGCAGTGATCAAGTTATCCTGTGAAATAGTGCAGAGTAGACACTGAGGCGTATCTGTGTTAAAGTTCGAAGTTGACCAGGTAAGTTTTTTCGATTTGCGTTAACTCTATTACATACCGAATGTAAGAGACGCGTTACTCGTGCCTCACGCTGATCAACTGCCGCATTCCTGACTATTGATTCTACTCTCACATTCGCCGAACATTTGGCGAGATCTGGCATGAAAGCTGCGGACTCCTTAGAGCACCTGTTGTGTCTTGTTTGAAAAGCAACTTTGCATCTAGACTGAGAAAACTTGATATAATGATAATACCAGCAGTCCCACAACTTCATTCATCGTTTCGCCTTCAGTGAAGCGAAGTGATCAAATTCGATGCTTGATTGCGTCAGTCACTTTTATGATTCAACTGAGAAGCTCATCTGCTATCGCAAGCCTTGAAGGACACTCCCTAAGAAGGAAATGATCAGTTCTGAGTAAGAATTTACTGATTAAAAAGTTATACACAGTCGACTATTAATTCGTTGTAATAGTGTAATTGCTAAATAAAGAGAAAAACCAACCGGAAGAACAACTAAAAAATTTATTCATAAAGTTTTCAGTGTTGAGTCAGTCAGCTTGAATTCATCACGGAGTCGAAAGGATTCAATGTTAGTTTCGCAAGCGGCATTTATACGGAAAGATTGTTAATTTTTCTCATCAATGGTAAATTAAAATTTCAAATCTGAGACAGTGACATCAAACTGTCTGTGTGTTTGTCATTTACACTGCTATAGAGGAGATGTCGTATTCTTTATTGTTAGTAAGAAGTACTGGCGCTATTGAGACTCAGTCAAGCTTCATAACAGTATTGACTTCCTGTTCCAAGCTGAAGCGAGGTCAGTGTCACATAGGAAGTTTTTACAAAGGTTCTACTAAGTTTGCACCTCAAGCAGAAGAAAACCTTAAAAAAGTTTTTTTCTCATGGCGAAAAACTGTCAAGCTCAATAAACAGCGCGTATTGACTACGGACACGTCAAGGGGTTTGAAGGCAGTTATCTCGCGCGTGCATGCTAACTATTCAAGGAATGATATAGCCCTTGGGGTTCTCCACAGGTCTGTGATAAACAGACGTGACGAAAGGCATTTTATTCATTTATTCAAAGAAGAAAGACCAAACAAAACATAATGGGTCACGTTAATTAAAATAACAACAAGGTTTTTGTGTCACGTATTTCTAAATAAACCGACAAACAGTCTTAAGTTGCTCACATGAAAACCTTCTTAAATTCGATTTTAATGTTTCCTACAATTTTCAAAATTAAAGTAAGATTTTAAAGTTGGCAAGCAACGTCCTAGAAATCTTCAATGATTCGGACAGAATATTCCGGTTCTATCTAGGAGTTTGCGCAAATGAATAAATTTAATTCAACTTACTGTCTTCGCAATGTCTACATACCTAGCAGTCAGAAATCTTAACAGAATTCCCAATGGAAGGTTCTATAACACTTTGTAAAGGATCAGAGGGTTTAGAAATGTCAAACGACTACGAGAACTATTTTGATTTTCAAGTGTTTAGTTGAAAAATTTTCCAAGCTTGTGCACACCTAGAGTCGCTTGGGTTGTAGACACAAAAACATTTTAGGCTAAGCTGCAGAATACCCTGCCACTCATTTACAAGTCATTGAATGAGAAGAACGTTAATTGTGTTATGCCTCGATCTTCAAAGCCTTCCGACACGTGTAAATGAGGTGGACCAAAGTGACAGGGTATTCTGCAGTTGCTCCCAAAATTGCTCGGCATTTCTAAACAAGCATCGAAGAATTTTTAGTTGGTTTGAATGAGGTTTTCTGTGACAACTGGGCATTTAGTCTATTTTCTGACCGTGCCTGGCATTCCGATCAGAATGATTTTCTATTAAAGTGTTGTGGTATCGCTTGACATTCTTAAGAAGTTTGAGAGAACCTTTCAATGGAAATTATATGAAAATTTTTGACTTCCGGGCATTCATTCCTGCCCATGTGCAGTGCAGTAAACAACAACCTATTGTATTTGGTTTGTTATTTTATTGTAGAGGTGGCGCCAAACATGATTCACGTCAATGGACATCCGTCTTTTCCGCAAAATTGTTGGGGCCATAGAACTTTTCACTCTGCTCATTGTAATAATTCTCATTCCACGGTGAAGTTTACAACTTCCAACGGAGTCTACTCTGCTGCACAGAAGATTCCACGTGAGTAGATAATTTAAAATATTCGTGATCAACCTATTCATGCAGTTTTGAATATTTCTAAATGTGTTTAGGGTCACATGTATTTAGGGAATAAATCTGTGATTACTGCATTGGTGCGCAGTAATTTTGATCGTGATTACTTCTTCTCCAAAATTTTCACAGCCTCTCGTTCCTCTTATCAAGCGCCAGCAAAAATCTTAAGCTTAGGTGGAGGAAGTGGAAAGAATTTAAGAGGGAGAAACAAAGACGCGCGCATTCACGCGCTTCGGAACAACGCTGTCGCCTTCCCTTACTTGCACAAACACTGCACACTCACACACCCCTCCCCTGTCTCTTGCATTGTACTCTTATGCTCTGACTTGTTCCTCAGTCGCTTCAAAATGTGCACAGCTGTTAAATATATGCACAGCGGTAAAGTACATCGTGACTAACAAATCGGACTCCCGCTTCGCGGTCGTCCGATTTTGTTTATCACTCGTATGATTACAGACCGAATTGGACTCCACTTGGTTCTAATACCATTATCAATCAGTAGAGGGTGGTTAGCAGTGTAATCCGATCGAAATTTCAAGGTATTACCTTAAATGACTCTTTCAAATGTCAGTTGAAAGGTGCTTTGATCACAATGTAAGCATATATTTCTATTTGTATATTTGAAAGGCTTTCTTTACTCTAATAGAGGGAGTATAGATGGTGTAAAGAGGTTTCACATGCTTAATTGATTCTTTTTCTTTCGCACACAAACTAACTGCTCTGTTCGTCAGTATTTTCAAAAGGTTCCTCGCTAACAGCTACTCTGCAGGAGTGGATCCATGAATTTTTGTTAAGAGGGGGGGAACTTATATTGTGTAGCAACATGCGATCCTGTCGTTGCAAGAATGTTGGTGTCGAACAATTAATTAGTGGGGCGTCCGATCCCCCCCCCCCTCTCCCCCTGCGACCTTGCCAAAGAATAACGTAAGGACAAAATCAAAATCTGGACATACTTTTCTCTTTGTTTTCCTCCAGCTTTCTCTTGTTCTTCGATACTGAACGCGGCAAGCTGCAAAACTACATCTGATGACTTTTTCCGCAAAAACCGCGATGGCTTTGGACTATTCTTGACCAGAGAGGAAAAAGCATTTATGAATAGCCAATTCTTCTGCGTTTCATCTTCAACTGAAAATGGAATCGCCTTAAAGCCAAACCATTCCACAGCTGTGACGTACCATCACTTGGGCCGAGACTGTGGCATTGCAGACTCCTGTTATGGCAGCACAAGGCGTGGCTTAATGTCTTCCCGCAACGAACAGCTTCCATTGACAACCAACTGCAATCACGAAATTACGAACCTCTGCATGAAGGTGTGTCAACATTCAACAAAAACGACGTTTAATAAAGTCACCAATCAACACAAAGAAACGGGCAAGAGCTGTACAGCAAAAGATGGTTCGATCGAGGGATGTGCCTCACCTGTTAGACAAACGGATGGTATCCTCACCATATCTCAGGCCTGTCCTGATCTAATGGAAGGTAGTGTCTTTCACAGCTCACAAGAGCAGAAGCCCAGCATACCAGGAGTGATAAATCAGGAGCATTGTCCTTCTTCATGCCCTTCGCAAAAGCCAACACCAAGTCTTATTTCAACATGCAACGAAGAAGAGAAAAGACACAGAATTTGCTCCGTTAACCTTTGTTATACATCAGCTGATTTTGGAACTCAAGGAAAACCAGGAAATGGCATGGGACGCGCTGATTTTCTGTCATTTAAACGAAATGCTACAACTGCTGCAGATCGTGATAATTATCCCGAACAACAACGCAAGAGACATTGTTCGGGTGACGATGTGCTCGGAATTATCAAGGATCAGGTATCTAGCGAGGTTTCTAATCCGAAAGATGCTTGCAAGACGCCTCTAAGTCAACCTCACCCTGACAAACGTTTGTATGGTAAGGACACAAGCCTTAAGGTAAAAAGATTCGGCGAACTTAGCCGATTGCCTGAGATGACACCGTCACCTAGTCAAGTCAAGGCCATCACTTCCCAAACGTTAACTTCCGCCAACAACACTTTTGGCACTTTCACGTCCAGTGTTCACGTCAACCAGTCATGCGAAATAAAAAAATCGCTTGAAATTGGAAATTCGCCAAATAGAATCAGCGCCAACATAACCTCTTCTGGTGCCCTCACTTCTGATATCGCCATTACTTCCACCAACAGCAAAGCTAGGAGTAACAAGATAACACCAACGAATCAACCAATCATAATTGACCTAACCGATGAAACCGAAAACAAGCGAACCAATTCAGAAGTATGTCGATCAGGTGACCGAGATCCAAATGATGCAAGACTTTTCGAGCGTCGAAAAGACATCCATGAAATTATTAACACAGCAAAACCAATCCAGCGTGATTTGTTGGAAAGTGACAAAGCACCTTTAAAAAGTGGCGTTGCTTTCGATCATGACTCTATGCCAAGACTAATCGGGGTACTTCCGTCGGCTACTGCAAATGTCCTATCGAGTTTAGTACATTGATTCGCAAATGGGAGAACTTTCTAGTTCAGTTCTTGGCTTTTACAACTTGCAAGACGAGTTCAAACTGCATGGGTAAAATTTATAGAAAATGTCCTCTTTAAACAACTGCGCACCCCTTTGTGTCTTTTCGTTGTGTGACACATGTCCTGGTCACGGGCAAACACTAAAACGAACGTCCCGGCTGAATTAATTCAGATAGTTCCCAACCGACCAGTGCAACATAGCAACAGAGTTGGATTTTTTTCATAGCAAAACCCTCCAACTCGTTTACCTCTCAGTGAAGTAATTAGTGGCTAAAAATAAAACTCATATCATTTAAATTGCAGTTTACCCTTAGTCCCCACCCGCCCCGCCGCCCCCTTTCCTTTTCAGCGTGAAGATTTAGCGAGCCTCAGTAAATGAAATTGAAAGATCAGACAAGCAGGTGATATGTACATATATAGCTGAATGAGGTAATTTTTTTTTCGGATGATGAAACGTACTTTGTCCAGTAGTAAATTTGCTGTCTCCTTATTTTTCCTTAAAAGTTTTTGCTTAGTGGCCTGGTCAGTTACAATTTTCAATCAACCCGACCACAGTCTGGCCAAGTCTTTCAGCGAAAAAGAGGCAATAAAAACCATAAAACAGAAGTAATGAGGGCTACAGTTTCAAAACGGAATTGTAACTATCGATACTTAGTCACGAGTCTGATATTTCAGTTTCTTACGAAAATCAGTTCGATTTCCTTTTCTCACCCAGCTTACAGCTAGAACTATAGTATTACGCCACAACTGCGTTTTTGAATTAAATGAACATAGTTACTTTCCATGAATATAATCAGCTAAACTACTGTAACCGTTATCGGTGCGAAAACTATGTCGTTTGAAAATGAAAATTTTGTCAACTGTGGATAAATATGAAAGAGAGATCTTACAGGATCGATGTTCTCCGTCTCTCTCGAATTCTCATCATTTATCCACTTCAGTTTCGTTCGCTTCAATTGTTCACGAGGCACGTGTCAAAAGCAGCGCTTAATTTTAGAAAGAAAACGGTGTCTTATTTCAGTTTCATGTTCGTTATGATAATATGTTTTCAGTAATAATTTGTAAATACATGGCTTCCCGCGACTTCAGATAGAAGGTATGTTTTCAGTCGACGTTCGCCCTGTCGCTGTTGCGGTCACAATCTGACCCAATCTTCGTGACGAGGAAGCGAGTGATTCAGTCACTTGAAATTTATTCAACAATTGGGTAAGTAATCTCGTCAAATTAAATTATGCGAGTGTAGACTTGGATACGGGAGGTTTGGGAAGATTTTCGTATCTTTAAAATGAATCCTATTGAATCTTGTTCTAGATTTCCATCCCCAAAGTCCTCGTCGTATTTTCATTTCTACTTCACCGCTTATAGTAATTTTTTTAATTGAATAATATTTTTTTGGTCCCCTTCGCGTTGAAGATATATATATATATATATATATATATATATGAAATAATGTGGCTTCAAACTGAACTACATAAATTTTGAGATGATGAAGTCAACTGGAAGTGTAGACTACTTTTCTTTAGCGCTTGCTACAGAACTTCTGTTCGTAGCGTTTAGTTTAAAATGCGACGACGAGGGATTTCCGGTTGATTGGTTGTCATCAAAGAGCAACAGAAATAGATTCATTCATTCTCTTTCCGGGAAGCGTTCGCGTCACAAATTTTTCCTATTTAGAGTAATACTTAGTTTCTTAGTTCATAGCACCGCGCACAACGGCGACTCAAACATATATTTGAATGATATTCCTCATTCCAATTTTAAACTAAAAAGTACATTTAATGCATTCAGCGTCCGAAGTTAAAATCGCATCTTTATGGTGTTATTGAATTTACCTAATTAGCGTGATCAGCCTGAATTTTAATATAACGTTGTATAAAAGATCGGTTTTACTTTAAAAAATGCTATAGCGTTAAATGGACACCTAAATAAAAAAAGAATCGATGAAAGATGAACAGCGGGAAAGAACTAGACAAAATATAAGATACGTGCTTGAATAACATGTAATGCAAGATTTTAGCCAGAGGGCTTCAGCGAAGACGACGACGACGAATCGACTACTTCCTACATCGGATCACGTCTCAACTAGCGTATATATATACCGTTAGAAATAATTCAAAAGGAGGAGAGGATGGTGAAGATTAATACCCCCCCGGGGGGGGGGAATTAACCTTCGCCAAAAAATATTATTATATTACCATTGACCTTCCCCAAAAAATAATCAGAATACAAAAGAAATTCGTGGATCGAACTTCAAGACTGTTTCAACAGAAAAAACAATCACATCGAAAATTTATGCCTTTAACATGTTTAAATGCATCCAGCCTGAGAACAACCAACTCTTTCCCCTCCCCAACGTTACTTCCCCCCTCCCCCACGCTACTTCCCCCATCACTGGTACAGTCTTAACTCATTTAGAAAGCAAATAAACTGTGTAATAACTTCCTTTTCCGCTTACAATTGAAATAGAGATATCTGTAAATATCATGCATGATCACGAACTGTATGACCGCCGCTGTTATGTCATATAAGTTTTGTTTAGTTGGTTACGTTCTTCAAATCTGTGGATCAGAAACCGAAACAAGCTCTTCCGGGATTCACGAGCTTACGTTTTATATACAGTAAATATCATTATGAGTATGTTGCAGAAAGCTAAACGAAAGTTTTATTTCAGTTTTGTTTTGCCACTAATTTTGTTGTCGATCACTATCAGTGAAGCTAAAAGTCAGTGCACGAGGTTATTAGGTCTTCGAGACAAATTTCACCTCGGATACATGAGGCTTTCCATGAGCATTTTATGGTTTCTCTCTCGGTTTCCCAAATTTGGTTCGAGCCTCTTTCCATGATCATGACTTGAGCGGAACGCAGAAAAGAAAAACCTTGTGGTTACTTAGGGTGAACATTGCCATTTTAATATGATATATTCGAATGAATACGCGATAAAAATGATTGTTTTTAAGATATTATGCATTTCTTTTTATCGCATATGACATCCGCGTGGATGTTTCGGGGAATCTTTAATTTCTGCGAATTGCAGAAGAAAAGAAGTAATTCCCTCCACGAAAATTTATCGCTTGTACTTTCTCACTAACTTTACCTGCCAAACTACGTGCAAACTACACGTGGTTTAAATATTAAAATTAAAAAATTGAAATAAAGCCATATAGTCAGACGAAACAATATTCCTTTTTTTGTTGTTTTTGTTACATGATTTGTTTCTATCCATTGCTACTGAATTGGCAGATTTTTTGAACCGAAAAGCATTATAATGAGGCTAGGCTAAGCGTGCCAAGATAAGCAAGGTCTATTAAGGAAATTGTATCCCCAGAAATCTTGCATTGTAGGTGGCCCTTGTGACAGATCATGTAAGTAGCACGTTCTCAGGAAATACAAGTCGATAGAAGAATCAACGAATATATATTCTCGTGCCAAGTGTCAACCCTAATATTGCTTGGATCATAGATTGTTTTCAAAAAGATTGCGATTAATTCGAGGGCGCAACGATTTCGCAAATCTCATTACTGTCCATAAATCGCAGAAATAAGCCATGACCTCGGCAATACACAAACGTTTGAAAAAAAAACTTGACCGAAGTAAACAGCTGGCTTCCTATCCGTGTTTTTTTTAATCAAAGAAGACAAATATAATGTTCGTTTCAGCTGGTACCAGGATGTGATATTCACGTCGACTACTGGTTGAAAACAAAAGCAATTAAACTGATTCAGTGCGAACGGAAGACGCAGCCGGCAAAATACGTAATAAATCAGTTTCCTGGAACGGTTTTTATATTCTAACAAAGAAAATGGCAGTGAGGAAGACGAGGTGAGTGTAAAATAGCGCGTTTGGTGTCTCCGGCTAAAGCGGTACCCAATAATTATTTTTACGACGTATAGACAGTATTGGGTAGAGTAAAGGTAGTTTCACGTAGGAGGAATGTGACGGTTTTTAATTCACTGACGACGCGAAAGCGCAAGCGAGAAAAAGGGTCGCAATCGTTACTTCGCGATATTAGCTCGCGTGTTTTATTACACGCTACTTTCGTTACTTGCGCGTCAGCTTTTACAAGTAGTTCGCTTTGAGATAATGGGAAGTCGTGCAGTCGAAGCGCGATGCTCATCCGCTTTCCATTCACTATCGGCGATTCTGAGCAAAGGAACAATGAATCAAACTGTCCATCGATGGCCAATGCCTGAACTTTTTCGTTTGCTTCATTTCTTATCGTGTGTTCATAGGCTAAACAATTGATTTAGTGACCACTCTAGGAAGGGGAATCCTGCATTCCAGATTTTATACAAGAAATCGTTCGTTAAAATTCTTTTTGGCTAGTAGTTTCTTGGGAAATCAGTGAAGGAAAAGCTTTTAGCCTCCAGAACATGAGGTTTGCGTTGTCACGCAATCCTCTCCGCCCCAGAAATAAATGCTTCAAGATTACCGGAAATGTTAATACAGCGGTATACCTTCCAATGCACATCCGCATGAAGTAACGTAGGAAGGACACTATCAGCTTCATAACGAACCTTAAAAATCGCTATACTACCAAGACCTGATAGCCAACTCGTTCAGCACAAGGCCAGGTTTAAAAGCAATTTTTACTGATCAGTTTATTAATTTGAACTTGAGTCGACTAGAATGCAAAAGTCCCTGTTTATTGAACCACACTCTGGACTTGTAATTACCATTGTAATGATTTGATTAAGCGCCCGGGGTGCTTATTTACTTTTGGAACCTCAAGGGAGGGCCCTTGTTCGAAACAGGGCGCTTATTTCGTTTTTGAGGAACAGCAGAATGTGAAACAAGGCTTTAATGGTTAGTTGGCTGAGGATCAAAAAGACAGAAAAACAGACTTATTGTCCCTTGATCCTTCCTTGCTTTAACGACTGGCACAAGTTATCGTCGCAAAATTTTAAGACGAGATCTTTCGCTTGAATGAACTGTGGATAGTTGGGAAACTGAGACGAAGACCACTTTTTGTCGTGAAGCTTTAAGTAAGCAATGAAAGGAAGATGGACCACAGTCGATCTCAGTGTACATGTACTCTAAAAGTGCTATTACTGAAACAGAATAGAGGCGTTTATTGGAATGAGGAAGCTTACTCAATAGGGGCGCTTAGTAACAAAAACAAATTACAAATCAACTTGTTGGAAAAACACAAGAACTTTTCCATTAGTTTTGGTTCAATGAAAATCACAGAGCTTGGTTTATTTTGATTTTTAAATGGTTCCAAATTCTCTATTATTATCACTTTGTCGGGCATTGTGGCGCATTTTGCGGGCTAAAATAGAGATTTTGGCGGGCTAAAATGTATTCTAGCCCGCACGCACGCTTGCATGGGTGTTCAGACTGTTTGTACGCATGTTGTCCTTTTTTCAGTCGTAATTCTCTCAATGCCCTCCAAACTGATAATAATAGTGTATTATTCATACAGTGTATGTTTGCGGGCATAAGTATGTTTTAGACCCTTCTCAGAATCATGTTAATCCTCGCCTAGCGGCTTAGGCTAAAATGACATTGAGTCGGGCCCAAAACATATTTATGCTCGCGAACAGACTCTATGTTTCATTCCCGGCTGAGTCGTGGAAATTCTGTCTAACAGCCACTTTTGCCTCTCCTCTGAAGTCAAACTTGCAGCAATGCCCCTGGTCACTTAATCCTTTCACTGGCTCAAATTAAAATGATTAATGAGGAGAATCATCTTACGGTCATACGACACTGTCAATAAGAGAGGTTATGAAGGATAACAAAATTTATTAACTGCATGGAATTGGTCAACAAGGAAGTGATGATTACATTTTGGGAGAAGTCGCCCTTAAATCTTGGCAGTGCAAGGGGTTTGCATGTTGTTATTGTCTTTTTTTTTTAACATTATTTTGTATTTTTTGTAGGTTTGATGCCTAACTCTATCAAACTTCCGTGAGAAAGATAGGCTTTTGAATGAAACCATTGACTCTGGCGCGTGGAAATGCAACCACTCCCAAAGGAAGAGAAACATCCGTTTCCAAGTCCTAAGCGGACAAACGAAGGGCCTTTCCTCATGTGCACCTTGAAAAAAGAAAATTCCCCTATAAAAGAAAATTTTCACAATTTATCCAGTTCATTTGATCCACCTGTCAAAAGGTCTTTGACTGACAGCGAACACGATATGGCTCCGTATCATTTGAAACGTTTCAAACAGACTGAGGAAGATTTAGCGTCCTTGGAAAATTGTGGTAGTATTTCATCCTCAAATAAAGCGAGTTTGCAGCAGATTGTCAGTGAAGTGGCTTGTTCGCTCGAAAGGAATAACTCTGTGCCATCTGCGTCGTTTCGGAGAAAGAAAACATTTGCCTGTGGAGCCTCCAATGCGACATTACGTTCCGTTGGTATTATGGATTTAAAGCGACAAGAGAATGTCTTTGAAAGTTCGCCTCGAGTAGCTGTGAACGCAGCCCAGGAAAATCTGGATGCTTTACCATCTTCAGCCAATGGCCAAGTTAAAGCAGCTCTTCCAGTTTTTAGAACACTGAATTGTCGCAGCTCCAGCACAAATAAAGGTGTTGCAATTGATCATGAATTCTTTCCTAAACTTGTCGGGGTACACTCAATTCAAACATCATCGGCGTTTTCACCCCAGAAAGGAGCAAATACCCATTTTGACCATGATTATGGTTCACCACTGCCCAATGAACTTTTACAAAAGGAAACTGCAGACGACTGGAACTTTGGAACTCTAAATAACGACAGCGAGACGGAGGGTGACATAGTGAGTTCTGTTCCACCCAAAGCATTTCCCCTGCCACGATCTAATCAAAGCCTATCATCTGATGAATCCATGGTTCGTAGAGACTCCAAATGTCATACGCAGGACAGGCTAAGAGCATTACCCATAATTCCTCTTGTTCTTACTACAAGCATCTCTCCAGATGTTTCCACAAGTCCTTTGATGGATGCAAATCACTCAAGTCGACGTGAAAAGGCGACGTTGCCACGAAAAACTTCCAAGTCAGTCGCTGAAATACCTACCGCTAAAAGTCTTTTATCCAGCTCACAGGAAAATCGTAATGCTTCTCTGCTCGCACAAACTCGTCACTATTCAAGAAAAAGAGAGATTGCGAAAAATACAGAAACATCCTCGGCACCCTCTCTTGTCAGCTCGACATTGATGTATTCAAATAAGAAGCTGAATCCCCGTGAGTCTCCCACAAATATCAAATCTGTCAATAAGCAAGAAGCTGTTGACATCCAGCGAATGGCCGCCAGCAGCCCGCCGCGTAAACGTCACTGTCGTTCAAGTTCACCTTCCAAGAAGCCGTACGACCTCCTGTTCAATTTTAAAAAACCAAATGGTAGGAGTGATTTGTTTCTCGTTGTGAAAGATAAAGTGTTTGCGGTGGAACATTTTGACTACGAAGGAAGGTCATACTTGATTCATACCAACCATAAAGGGAAGAGAGCCATTCTTGCTAAACTTCCAGAAGCCGAAAGACTTAAATTACAGATTAATGACAGAGGAGCTATCAGACATGAGCAGCAGACGGATCAACCTGCGACCTTACAGCATCCTGCTAAGACCTCTCTTTCTGTAGCAGCACTGCAGGATAGCCTCTATCACGGAGACGCGACAGATACAGTTTCTTCTATTTCCAGTCGCCAGCTGGATTCAGGCACGATTTACAGAGTAATGAGAGAAGAGAACATGCAGGAAAGAGCAAAATCGCTGAATGAAAATGGTGCGATTTTATCCAGAGGTGCACTGGTCCGGAATAGTGGTCGGATGAAAAGCCATTGTCATCCCTCGACGACGTCTTTGCAAAATAAAAGGCTACTACTAAAGCAAGTGCTAAATGGCATAAGGAAAGAGATATCTAATCACAAGGACACTGTGTTCGTTGGAAAGCACAGTCTTCCACAGGAATCTACAGATACACTAGCAAACGATCGAGGTATTTATGTTTTCAGTACCACACACTCCACTCCCAGATGTGCCTCCACTTTGTCTGGAAGAGAAAGAAACCTGCAAAGCATTGTAAATCCAAACAATTTGGATAGATATCAAGAATTTGATGCACTTTACCATCAACAGCAATACTTAAATACTGAAGTGGAGAGTTCAGCCAGGAAAATTCATGCAGCTGGCATTGGGCAGCAAAATTTCCTTGAGAATCAACCTGCAAAAGAAGCCACTAACGAAAGGTTCGCTCGTGGAAACACTATGCCACCTTGTGAGCGTGGGACATTGCACCGAAGCGATTCGATAAATTTTATCGCTCACCGATATGACTCAAACGAGCATGCCTTGTCAACATCTGGCTCCGTGAACAAGCCATCTGAAGATACAAAACAGATTTTCAGCCTGAGCAAGACAAGCGCAAACGACGTGATCAACGTCGCCAAAACTGGTGCTTCCGGTCGCATGTACATCTACGAGAAGTCGCCACGTAATAGGCAATTTCGACAGCTTAATAAACTTTTGTTAGGAGACAGCCATGGAAAATGCAGCACTAGTGCAGCACCCCCGGCTGGAAATAGAGCTGTGGAAAGTTCCAGAGTCACACAAGCTTCAACTCCTTCCGAACCAGTACCAGTTCTTTTGAGAATTCCTAATGAAGTGCCGGATCACAATGCCAAGTTTTTTAGGAAAAGACCAAGCCCAGACACCATTATCCAGCAGCGTGCCGTTTTAGCCGACACCTGTCATTCACTCAGGCAGGAATGTTATAATTCGAAGACTATACAGCAACTCCTGAATGGACGAAATGAGGCATTACGAATGCATTCAAATCAAATAAGACAAGGTGAAAATGGACTCTTTCAGTCTTGCGTTGCTGCTTCTACCGACTTCCTACAAAGCAGGGAGTGTCCATGTTACAATACCAGTGTTGCTGGTGAGAAAAATGTTTTAGTTCACACAGTATCGGAGGGAGCCACTCGAAAGACCCAACAGCCACTTGAATGGCAACCTAGACGTGCCCACATCAGTTTTCAGCAAAGATACCTTGAGGATGCACTAAATCGAGGTATCACAGACGTCGCTGATTCATGGGAAGTTGCTAAACCATTGGACGCCGAGAGAAATACGGCAGGCGACAACGTCTGGGAAGGAATGGAACTACAACGTGGCAACTATCAGAAGACTTGCGTCAGTAATGGAGCAGTACCAGAAAGTCCTATGGAAATGTCCAAGCCCTACAATTGCAACGGAGATAATTTCGAGAAAACTGAGGATCCCACCCAAAAAAATTCTCAAAATGATCTCACACTTCGAGAACAGCTAAAGAAAGAAAGTCCAATCACTACAAGACAAACAGTGAAAGAAAGGGGCAAATCGAAGAAAAAACATTCATGCCGCCCTGAGTCAAAGGTGGAGAGAAACTTGTCTCACGTTCCTGGTACGGCTGACGTTATTGTCATTGAAGATGACTGAGAGATCAACTTTTTTGGACAAAAATCTCTTGAAAGGGTATATATTTAAAACTTAAGAGTTCAAACGTTAAGTTTAATTGTAAAATTTAATTTTCAAGACCCTTACAGACTTTTCATGCCTAAAAACAAACATAACGCGCTCGAAGTAAATAGAGTAACTTAATCATGCTGAAAAAGTTTTAGTTGAGGAGAGAATAACTTCGAACTGTGGTACAATGTTTGTAACTGTTTTTTATTATTTTAAATGATCTAAGTCTATGATTTAACATATTACAAAGATAGATGAGTAAATCTTTGTTCCTGTTTTATTTTTAAACTTCTTTGCAATAAAATTGTATGGAAAGTAAATAGAACATAATTTAAAATGTGGTCACACGTGCAGTTGCGAATTGAACATTGAAACCCTGCCATAGTGATTGGAAAATGTGAATATTAAAGTAGTATTTATTGGTTAAACGTAATGTATTATGGTTACTCTTTGGAAAAAGTAAGGTAACACAGATTCGGATATAGGATTCTTTATCTGAATTTGATCTCCGCCAGATTTAAAAGCCTTTCTCTCTTTCGCGCCAGATTTCGAATTCGCGCCTCGCGGATTTGCAAACTTTGTATTAAGTCGATGTCCTCTTGTCTTCCACTTGGATTATAGATTCTGGGACTTGTAAACCCTTGCTTTTCTTCGTCTTGTAAAATTCTTTCGAGCGAGGACCCTTGATTTTCTTGTGGTTTTGCATTGTCCTTTTCCTCTCTTTGGTCGAGTTGCGGGTAGTTAATCCCTGCACAAAATTTACATTCTGACACTTGTGAGTATTCAGGTTGCTTTTCGCCCGTTTCATGGTATTCATGAGTGCTTTCGGTAGTGAATTGTTTATCTTTTCTGTTTTCCAATGACACTTGACAACCTGTTAGGAAAAAGTAAACTGACAATTACATTCAACGGGTCCTTTGGCTAGTCAGACTGAGCCGTTTTGTAACGCGGACTTCGAGGCCGCATCTCAAGATGAAAGCACTCAGTCTTGTGACAGAATTCACGGGAAATATTCCCATATTTATAGATGGTGAGAGTCTTAAGGTTCGGGAGAAATCGTTACGAGATGCAAATCAGGCAACATAGACCTCTTAAAACAAAGCTCATTCCTTTTTTTTAATTTGCAAGTAAATAAGCCTCATTACCCTCGAAGGTATACATGAGAATTTGGAGACCAACATATAATAGAGGGCCAAAAAGACTTATATTTGTATGTACTCAAATAATTGCAACTGGAAGGCCCCCCACATATAAAAAGGGTCAATACCTTCCCCAAAATTACCTTTGCCAGGTCCTTCATCTCCTTGACTTTCCTCTTTTACGTCATTTGCCTGATTATGCACTGCGTAATCCAAAGGCGGATCTGATGGTTCCATTTTGACGCTTGCGTAACCTTCATCTTTGCAATGTTTGCATTGCGTGAAATCAGGGTAACATAAAACAAATTCTCTCCTGGCTAATATGGCACAATCGTCAGTTGGTGTCACATTATTTTCTTCTACTCTAGATTGCGTGACACTTCGAACATTGCATGTCACTTCTTCAGTGTTGGTATTGATCCTAGCCACTAATTTCTGGCCTGATAATGACAGAACTTTCATCTTCTTTGCCCCGCCGTTCTCTGCTTGATCAGCGTCAGACGAGGAGGCAGACCTTTTCTTGCAAGGAGATGAAAGATCTAATCCAACTTCGAATGGAAGTCGTAGAAATGACTCATTTCCTACATTCGATTTTATCAAAGTCAAGCTTCCACGACCCTTTCGACGATAGTCATTTTTCATCTGGATGTCATAATTGTAGGATGTTTTAGGTCTGTACTCGTCCTCAATTTTGGTTGCATTGGTGAGCTCTCCGCTATTTTGTTTGTAATTGCAGTGTTCCTTGGTATCCCCGTCTAAGGAGAAAAAATTTTTAATTACCTTCCTTGGGTTTTCAAGATCGTCTTTAACACGAATTATATGTATTTCGTTGTTGTTATTTTGGCTCTTGTTTTGGCGCTCAGAGAATATATAAATCATTCTCTGCAGTAGGTTGCTTGCTAGGTTACGTTGCAAAAATAGCATTACATTCCGGGGCAGGTAATTAAAAGTAACCCTTAAAACGCTTTAAGATGATCAGTTAAAAGAGATTTTAGTTTCAGACTGGTATGAACAGCTACCTTGGGGGTCAGAAGAAAGTGGCCGTTACAGAGAGGTAGCCTAAGAGGGAGGTAAATTTTAGTATGATATTTATCTCTTTAAAGGGCTGAAAATTTCTGTAGTTAATAAATCCTCAATGTTTCTCAATGAATAGGTCACAATACCAAATAGATCAAAAAGAAAGAAAACAAAAGATCACAATGTTCAGCTGAAAGATGTGAACAAATGAAAACGAATAAGATAGAAGCTTACCAATATTCACGATAACTTGATCAGTTACCAGTTTACCATCAGTTGCGCTAATTACAATTGAGCTTGCGTTCATATTTTTGTTGTTCTCCTGTGCAGTTTCCTTGCTGTTATCCACTTTCTTATGAAGGTAACTAGCGCCAGTTTTCTGTTGACTTTTGCCTTGCTCGGCTTTGTTATTCCTCATACCTTCGATGAGAGATTTGACTTTTTTCCGTAAACCAACTATAGCTTTCAGCATTCGTTTCTTCCTGAAGTCGGACTCCGTCCTATCAAGTCTGCTTTTGATAAACCGGATTCTTCTGACCAAGTCACGCACATTTTCTCGAGCATTGTCCTTTTGCAAATGATTTTGAAGTCTCTTTTCTTTAATAGCTGGACGAACGGCGATAGAACCATAGCTATCCTGGAAATAAAAAAAAAAATTAGACGGTTTTTTAAAAAAAAAAAAAAAAAAAAAAAAGCTAAAGTTTTAGACGTTTACAAATCTTTTACACAAATACAAAATATTGGTTGCGTTTAGAATTATGACCATAGCCAGGAGCCCATTAATAAGCTCCTGTCGTAGCTTGCCTCGCTTCCATAAGAAATATGTTGTTCTTTCTCATTTGCCGGAACACCAAATATGCATATTTCCGGTATCTTAGAAATTGTAACGGACAAACGGACCAAAGGATTCCTAAGTGGCTATGAACTGCTATGTCAGGTTCACGTGGCATCCAACACAATCTAAATGACTGCTAAACTCATCTCACATCAAAAAAAAATTAAAAACAAAAACCAAATCTCGCATGAAAAACTTGCCATGTTATCTTTTTGTGGACGTGTACTTTCTTTGAGACCCATGCTTGTTCCCGTTGATTTAAACTTTATACTCCCTTCGAATTGTTTGTTAGTCACGTTTCCAACGCCTGATTGTGAAAGTTTTTTGTCATCGCGTCTCACACCGATAAAGCTGCTCTGCGCTTTGAAAATCCCCTGCTTATCATCATCAAGCGCGCAAAACTTCATATGTAATTTTGGTTTGGCGCAGTCCAAAACATCCCGTTGGCTCGCTTCGCGACTTCTACTACGGCTATTAGGTGAACCTTCTTGGATAAAGTCAATTGGTTTTTCTCTTGAATTCTTTTTGTATTTCAAGTTGGCTTCTACTTTCGTGGACACATAAAGATCTGTCGATCTACAATGCTCTCTTTGTTTCTGTGTTTGGCGTTCATCTTGAAGTAGAGTTAAGGTTGTCGTTTCCTCTGTAGAAGGCGTGTTTTCCTTCGCTCCCCCCATATGTTCTTTTTTCACCGGGTGTGTGGTGTCAATAGGAGGTCCCAGACGCCCAGTACGAGTCGGGTCACAGTTGAATACAGATGCACCCGTTATCACCTCAATATCGTTGAATGCAGTTTTATTCGTTCTCATCTGTAACTCATCTCTTACCACCACAGACGTACCAGCTTGTGTATTGCATTCCGGCCAACACACTGATACAATCCTTGGAAAGTTTATATAGTCGAAAGCAATCCCAGCATTAAATGTCACCGCAGAGGGCTGAAGTGGAGCGAAAGGATGAAGGTCTGCCATGACAAAGATATGGAATAAAAACATAAAACTTCCACAATGGAGGAAATGCATTTGAAATGTGATAGGCTCAAGTTTTACCAATATTTATAACTTTAAAATTAGGATGCACACAGAAAAGTAAATAAAATGTATTGACATTTTTATGAGTGTGAGGAAGAGCCACACATGCACTGCGGATTCGTTTGAGACATCGGCTTGACCAGAGGAAAGGGTCAAAAGATAAAGGAAAATATGATATGACTTACCAGTGGTTGCTCTGTGAAGGCAGTTCAAGCTAACTATTGGCGAGCCTATCTGACTCGTCACAGACTCCGGCTGAGAAGCGCCGCTGGAACATTTCCTTTCAGAGTCATACGCAGTGAAAGCAGCAGGCTTCATACCAGCCTGATTTCTTTCCTGGTGAGCAAAACATTAGTTTCTGATACTAAACTGGAAAAGATACCCATATCAGTACAGAAGATTTCCTAAATACTCAGGACCACGACTCGCCGAGGGTTAAATTTTTATAGATAATCTTGACCGCGAGGTTGAACCCTTCGAAGGAGACACAGAGAGCTATAGACGCGCTCTCCTTTATTTCTGAGACCACTGAATTTTACAGCACATCAGATTTACGTGATGAAAATGAAATGCCACTTCATCGAGATAAATGACATTCCCATTGAAAATAGAGTCCACAATTAACAACGTACCTTATTGTGTGTTTTCTGTCCCTCTACGTTGTGTCTTTTCTCTCTTAAAATGAACCGTTATCGCGCATGACGTACACAATCTTGCATACGAAAAGAGCGTAAAATAAACGGACCCAGCGCGCGCATCTTAACTGCATAGGACGACTGGTAGGGTATTTATAAGTTAAGCAACAATCAGTTGAGGCATGTTTTTAAAATTTTTGGCGAATCTTTTGGTTATATCCCTCAAAACATATCCCTATGTTTTCGCATTGCTCTATGCTGTACCAATAAACAAAATGTCCACCCCTGGTATTGTATGTTGCGATCATCAGTGCAAGTAATCGCACTGATTTGGAGTGTGATTCGGAATAAACGTGCATGAGCAATAAATTACGAGTGCTAATTCATTCCAAACTGGACGACGAAAATCGTGTGATTTATTATTAACAGTATATATATATATATATGCATCGAAATTTTGAGACAGTTGTTCCTGATTATTCAAAAGCAAAACGCACGAATCGCGTGTAAAATCATTTATTTAAAGCCTGTAAGTATCATTGTATCGTCAGGAAAGGAACAGGTTTTGTAAAAGGGAAATGGGATGAAAGATTTGGAAGCGAATTGTTAAAAGTAGGTGCAAACTTGTTATACTCGACGGAACGAACTCTTCGAGGTGGGAGCGAATTTCTAAGGGGCAAAATTTTAATATGAAAAAATCTCCAAAAGTTGTAAGCGTGTGTTCATCGAAATACGATGCGCGCGGACAGGCCAGAGAGTACCGGAAAGATACGTAAGCTTTCCCCGAGGTGTAGGTGTAGATTTTACGTACAGGTCAATTGCTTTACAAAAAATTCAACGCCCGCATTTGAAAAAACGTGGTATCCGGAGAAACTCCCCCTGCTACGCTTCAATGCGTACACCCACGTCACCAGCGTGCACAATGAGAAGAATACACTCTCACGCAACAACACGAATTTAATTACCATGTAACGATAAAGCTTAGTTTGAGGTAACAGCCAGATTACTATTTAAATGGTTGTTACACTAATGGATATTTGCTGTGTTAATGTATGTATATGATTCGTTAGCTACTACTTCTAGCTCTGGCCCCGGTTGTTCGAAGCACGGATGAAGCTATTTACCGGATGAATCTCTATCCGGTGAATACCGCAGTACGTTTTGTTAACACTTATCTGCTGGATAGTGGTTTACCCGTTGAACAGCCTTATCCGGTCTTTAGAAACTGGACCCTTTATTTGCGCGCGCAAATCACGTAGCTCGGAAGTTATTACTTTATTTATAGACTGATCAAAAGGGCCGGATAGGAAAATATTTGGCTCACGGTCATTACGTTTGGACCGAGCGCAGTGATAACCAAGAGCGCTATTAATATTTTCTCGTTCGACCCGACCACACTCATTCAATATGCAATTTATCATATGACCAGTCAGCCACGAAGTGTTAGAAATTTCGAAAATTTTGTTCCAACCTAAATAGGACATACTCGCATACAAAACAAGGGTGAGTACTGGACAAAAATTATATACATGGTTAAAACCTTTCCTTTTTTTCCTTCGAGTCAGAACAAGAAGCTCATAATTCATCAAGAAATAATCATGACTAATTTTCTCTTTTGTTTAGGCTCTATGCCTCTTATCCTGACGTGATCCAGGTTTCTTTTACGATGGAAACGTTCTATGCTTTTAAAGACGATGCAACTTTGGCTGTGGGTGAGGAGAGTACGTTGACAAGTTTGGGTAAACAATCGTAATCCAGAGCATAACTACCATGAAGAGAGGATTCGTTATCTCTCAGTAACTTTCGCTGCACAGGCTTGGTTATTTTGATGACTGCGTCGACATTTTTGCACTTTTTGGGAATCACCTTCTCCGCGCGTAAAACTTGTGATTTCACTGGAACATCATCGGTGGAAATAGTCGATGATAGTTCACCTGTAGCATCTCTAGTTTTGTGGTGGTGGTTGCCGTCAAAATTAATGGGAGTGGATTTTTCTCCAATGCGCTGGTCACCATGAACAGTTTCTTCTGCCATCCCAGACAGACTAGATATTTCGAGAGCTTCACTCTTCTTCAGACTTACTTCTTCGCCGAAACTGCCGAGAAATGGCAGAGAATCTGTCAGAAAGCTTTCTAAAGTGTCATTCAAATCTATGGTTTTACTTGATGTCTTTTGTATTTGGTGGGTTGCATCCTTGCCAACTCGTTGCTTCTTGAGTGTTCCTTGATGTAGGTTGTCATATTCTGAAAAGTTGCTGGATTTTCTCTTCAAAGATGAATTCAGTTCTGAAGACATAGCATACGTACCAGTAGAATTATAGGGTTCAGTAGATCTAGTTTGGAATTTCTCAGCACGTTTCGATGTAGTCAGAGCTGATGGGTTATCTTCATAGCTTTGGTCTCCGCATAGATACCGTTCACTTATCTTTCTCCGTAACTCTGCTGCCTTAAATTGCTGGTTTGCGCCATGATTGCCACGGTCGGGAGCGTCATCTGAATGGTAACCTTTCGTGCAGCGGAGAGAAGGAACAGTGCGTTTGAAGAGAGATTGCTTCTTGTCACATGCATTTTCTTTCGATATGGTTTGAAGTTGTTTGCCGTTTTCTAGGACAGAAGCAGCGTACTTTGGACGAGGATAACTGTATGCCCGTGCGTCGACGGTGTTTTTCCCACCAACAGCTTCCACTTTATTCCTTTGAGGCTTCGAAACAATTTCTACTGTACTTTGTTGCGGCCTAACACAAGTTCTGTCACCAAGAACCGTAGGATCACAGCATGGATGCGGAGTTCTTTCACTTAGGCACGGTAATCCTTTGACAGTCCGACGGACGCAGCAAGAAGGCTCCCTTTGTTGATAGGTAACAGTCCTCTTGTCGCATGAATGTATAAAGTGGCGAAAGTGACTTGTCCAATATGCGTACTCTTCTTTGGTCAAGTGTGGTCGGAGAAAAAAAGCTGAGTCAGCTGAAGTTTGATGGACCGCTGGTCTCATTTGAGAACTTGTCGCTAAAATTATCAAAATTAAAATAAAAATTATTCCTTGACTTTATTAGTTATTACGCTGAAACGAGTTCAATTTCCCGTTTCATTATGCCCTGAAGCGAGTTCACTCTCTGATCGTGATTTGAGCACGTTTTTTTTCGAGAGCTTTTGGCGGGTCTCGATGGGGTAAACCGATGGCCGTAAACCGGCTGAAACATTTAGCCGTTAAGCGTAGAAATTGGCAAACTTTAACCCATAGTCGTAAGAAAAGGTAACCGAAGAAAAAAATTCTTATTTCAACAATGGAATGTTATTTATCGTAAGCCGTAAGATGGCAAACATTTTAACCGTTAGCCATGAATGAAAGCCATCACCCCATTGCGACCCTCTTAATCGTTCTTTCTGAATATATTTTCTAACATTCCGTGAGGGTTCGAGTTGAAGAGGTGACATGTAGTAAGAACAATTCTGTTCAAAGATAAATGGTGTTTCAATGGCAAGAAGTACCTTCACAGTTACTGAACTTCTTTGTACGGCTTGTATTTTCGAATGCACTTCCTCACCTCTTACGTAACACGGTAATATTATGCCTTCTAAGTTACAAAAATCATGACACAATACAATTTCAGTTCGAAGATATATAATGATGTTTTTGACCCCACTCAGAGTCATTTAAGCCCGAGCCGCTGCGTTTTTGCAACTTACCACAGTCCGAAGAGAAATTTCTCGAATCAGTGCCACAAACTGTCTGTTTTAGGTTGGTTTGTTAGTTGTTACTATATATAGTTTTATCCTGTCCTGTAAAGGATCTTGGTTACTTCCATTAGGTTTTTTTCTATATTTTCATAGAAATGAGCAGTTTGCGTCATGTACTGTCATGAAACATTCAATTTGTCAAATAAGTTACTGTCTCCAACATTATGTCGCAGTTATAATGGTTGTTTGACGACATTTTATCGAAAACTTGATTGAAGTCATTTGTCGTATAAAACGCGCTCAGTTGAGAGCATAAATAATGAGTCGGTATGACGTCAAACGTTAAAGTCGTTTTCTTCTTCACGGCTGGTTCTCACAATTCCCAAGCCAAGTTCTCGCAAGAAAATGACCTTAGAACCTGCCAACGGTTTTGTTACTAGAGAGTAAACTCGAAATCGTAAGATTTTCGATTCCTATGAAGTCAAGGTTTACAACAAACCACAGTAATTTCTAAGTGAACCTATCACTAGCATGATAAGGAAATCAGCACGTGAAACTACTCACGATTAAGACTTCCTGTTATGTTTTTCCTGACACTAGCCATGTGCTCGGATGCGTGGCTGAAACCACCACAAGCATAACGGCATGCGCTGAAGGGTTTGGACTTCTGCTGAGACGTACTACAATAATGAAGGAGATGTGCATCACAGCTACAACGACGGGATTGAGAAAACGGATTCATTTCGTTCAGGAAGGAGACACGCTTGTGTTCACAGTTCTTGCAGATAAACTGAAAGAAAACACAGTTGTGCACATGTAATTAGCAAATCAAAGTATCTGCAAACAGTGCCATCGGGACACGTTAAGTATTAATTTCCGATTTGAGGTAATTGCACGTTTGATGAAAATGTAAACAAAGCGCTAAATTGCTGTAGATCTGAAATTTACCTATCTTTGGGCTTTCTGCAAAATTAGCAACCTTTCCCGCAGAAAGTCATGTCGGATAATCCGCCTACCGTAGCAAGCTCGTGCTTTTAGCCTGAACAATGACGTAATGTGCTCTACGAACCATAAAGATACAATATCTTATATATCAACTCTAATGGAACAACAATCTACAACAAATATCCGTTTTGATTCGAAACGGAAGCTTTTCCGTTTAAAAAAAAGATCGGTTTACTCAAGTCTTTCTCTAAATTCGGCTTTCGCCCTTCTACATGTATTAACTAATAGGCTGACACAGACTACCGATTGATCATGTAAGGAATGGTCTAATTTGATATCAATTGTCTCACCAGCGGTAGTGCATAGATATAGCATCCAATCGCAAAATCTAAATTGACTGGAGGTATCAAAGCAGAATGTTTTTTGTTGTATTGACATCAGCCAGATACAGCCACTTTAAGTCCTTGTCTATGATGGCTGCTAATTTACGTAATTTCAGTAGACATTTATTTTCGTCCTTTTAGAAAAAGGTCGTTTTCAAAAGCTTCTCTTTTCGGTGAAGAACGTCCTTAAACGTTATGCTTTCAGTGATCGTTTTCGTTGGATACGGGTGGACCGTAAACTTTTACCGAAAAACGAAATAAAAAAAGGCGTTATCGAAAAAAAATCAGTTATATAAAAAGCACATTATGTTTTAAATTTATCTATATGAATATTGGCATGTCTAATATTGGTGTACCCCAGTAACCGCATTTATAGATGCCGTGGATGCATATGACCTTGCTTCCAAGCTCTCTCGAACAGTTCTTTCCATATTCCATTTATTAAAATTCTCCCAAACGAAACCGGGAAAAAATATAGAAATTCATTAAAATTGTAGAGCGAAAGTTGACGAGATTTTAAAAGTTCAAGAAGTTTGTTGAGTGGCTATCATTTGTGAGTACATGACAAGAATAAATTAAATATTAGACACCGATGCACCTTGAACAAAAGGAAAAGGAAAAGGAAATACCGGAGGTCAAGTGTGTAATTACCGTGCAGCCAGACGAAGAGCCTATTGTAATGATGAAATAATTTGGACGCATAACTGAAGACTGCATGTCGATCGGAAACGTAAGCCCTCCTTGCAAGAAAGACTGATTACTCAGAAAAACCGCAGGCCGCAGAAAGAAACACAAGCACAGGGAGACTGAAAAAGAGAAGAAGATTTGCTCCGTTCTGCATCGACGGCACTGCAAATTTGAAATTTTTTTGATGGCTATTCATATTGATCGTCTGTTGATCATTCATTCACTTGCTTGACGGCAACTTAACAAATTATCGTTGCTGTAGGGTGCAGAAAACTTATAAACTCCATAATGACTCAAACTTTCGTGCATGGTCTCTTTGTTGGAATTATTAAAGAAGTGTGTCTCGAATATAGCTTGTAAGTCACCGCCGCCGCATACTATGAACATAACCAGGCTATTTTTAGTTGTATTTAGAGCATCTCAGAACATTTCAGTTAACTTTCAGTTTCTGATGTTTGCACGCTTTGCCGACCTAACAACTGATAAATATCCTTCCACTGTTAGCTTTTGGCCCTTTGGACACTGTTCACAATAACAAATGTTCAGATAAAAGGTTCAGAGAGCAGAGAACAGAGAAGGGCTAACGCACGAAACGTCGGCCTTTAAACTCTTTAAGGTAGCCAATTTACGTTTTCAACTCAGTTAATGACACTAAATTACCCCGTTAAAAGCTAATCTTATATTAAACGTACTGCTCTCAGGCACACTCGCTTTACAGCTATAAGATATGTTCATCACTTCAACGCAACTATGCAAACAACAAAAGTAGCAAATTAAGTCAGTTAATTATAAATACAGTAAGAGAGGTAATTTTTTTTTCCGTACACGAGTAATGTGCCAGCTATTCCTAGGTTTGTATTTTCAATGAAACTATCACAATTAACAATATCACATGCTCACTTGACGTGCAATGAATGAGCAGCACTGAGTTAATGTACATTTACTCATGATATCGGGCTTTAAGATTAGACAAAAAAAACAACAAAAACAGAGTAAACGATTCTAATAGTCGCTCAGTTTTATAAACACCACCGGTAGGCCTATTGAAATCACTTTTTTTTCCTTTTATACTATCGGAAGTCGAGGTGTTGTCTTGAACTTACAAAGTAAGCCTTCTTTTCATAATTTGTTGGAGGCGTATCTCAGTTACATCAGTCCTTTTGATTACTTTTCAGCGGTACAGGTGGTTACTTTCCCTATGTAAGATACCGCTTCCGTCGACATTGGCAATTTTCCTACAACTTCAAAAACATTTTACTAAAACTGACAGAGTCCATTTGAACAGGAAGACAAAAACACAGTTGTTAGCTCACTTGACCGGGTTTTTAAGGGGTTGTTTAGCTTTCCGTAAAAAATCTTTTGTCTTAATTCACGCGTTTGAACACAGGAAGTTAAGACGTTTTTGTACGTAAATGGAATCCGACAGCCGGACATGTTTTCGAAATTTTTTGCAATTTGAGATTTTATTTCAAGGACAATTTGACAGTTACATTTTAAGCAGAACTAGACAACTGCTCGATCGGATTTCCTTGAAAACCGAAAGTCAAATACTTCTGGCATCCACATCCTGAAATGTCTCTCTCGAATTGGTCGTGACAAGTTACGGACCTTAGTAATGCAAGAATCCTTAGGATTATTACATATAATGACTTCTTCCTGTTTAAGCTAACAATGTCTCGATCACTGCACCAGTGGCTAATTTCGCGGAAAAGGTCACAGTTAAAGAACAGTTTTGCTTGTCGCAAATGAAATAACTCGAAATTTCATGGTCCTCCAAAATCTTGTACAATGGTTCGTAACAAACATAATAAATCTATATTTTTTCAAATAACCTTTGATTTTCTTATCTGAGCAATTTTTGTATTATTACTGAAATAAAAAAAATTACCTAGAAACTTTCCCTAACACAAGAATGACTAACACGCTATTATAAAAGACAATCAAGGCTTTACGTCGTCTTGAGTGTGGAACAAAATTACGTCACTTCTTATTGTTGTATCTGTTTCCAACCCGACCGTCAAAATCAAAATACAATTGAAAATATTTTCATTGTTACGGTTTTCTCCTTGTTAATCATTAGAAATAGTTCCCTGTAAAAATAAACTCTTTTTTCTATTCATATGAAATGATCGCTCTGAGCTGTTTTTATCAACATAGCTTCGTCTTCATCCCCGCATTGTCTTTAAGATGAGCTTTTATCACATCCGAATTTTGCGAAGATAGTGTTTCAAATAACAGTTTCAAAGTAACAGATCTTCTTTAGAAACTCTCTACGGTGTCCTGTTTATATCATAAACTCAGCTGATAGAACCAAATTATCTTGTAGCAAATTTTCGTTTCGTTGCCAAACAGAAATTGCCGGTTCTGGTGTATTTTGTGAGTTGTGAAGGTTGACTGAGATCCATCACTTTCCGGATGTTTGTTTCACATTGTTTTCTGGGAGAAACGTTCCAGCAGCAGAGAAAGTACAGACAATAGCAAGACCTGTGCTAGCAGTTAGATCGACCGAGCATATAAGAAAGAGCATGGTAAATTCAATGGTGTAATTTAGTTTGATCAACTGAGTTGATAACGTAAATTGCCACGGTAAAGAGTTTCAAAGCTGACGTTTCGAGCGTTTCGAGCGTTAGCCTTCTTCAGAGCGAATGACGGTATAGACACTAGGAAGACCTGTGAAGACCTGTGAAAACCTGAAGAAGACCATTCGCTCAGACGACGGGCTAATGCTCGAAACGTCAGCTTCGAAACTCTTTACGGTGGCTAATTTACGTTATCTACTCAGTAGATAATACTAAATTACCTTGTTACACTCTCCCAGCGACGAAGCGCCACAGTTTCTTTAGAAACTTACCCTTTTATTCATGTTAAATTCAGTGATACACTGTTGACTTACTCTTGCTTGGTATTACATAAGAAATTGTTTCCAGAAAGGAAAAACTCGTGAGGCGTATCATCAACAAATCTTTTGCCTCAAGGTTTAATCAATGTTCTTATCTTTAGCCACATAGTGATTTAGATAACTTAGGAGTAAATTACAGATAGCAGCTAAACAAAAGCAGCTAAACATAAGACGTCTTCACTCATGACCGCATGATCAGCGCTTCTTAGTGTCCACTTTTCTCGAACGTTTGCCGGATTTTCACTGTCGCATAATATTAGGTGCGTTGACCGCAAACGTCGCCTGCTTTCAGCTGCGGCAGTTCGTGCCGGCGCTAAAACGTAAATATTTGTAGGGTGTAGTTCTCACCATTTCCCATTTCTGTAAACTTTTTTCTTTATCTCAGTGACTTGAGTGACTTAATGTGCACAAAGTAAACGAGTAAAGGGCTTTGAAGAGGGCGGAGTAACTATTTCCGCAGACTCAGGACCGTGTCTACATTTTGTTTTGTCTCGTATTTTAAAATGCGTTAAATCACAGGACAGTAGAAATCTAGCAATGAACGGTTTTGAAAAGATAGGAATGTACATACCTTACGAGATGATTAAACATAGACAATCGATCAGCATGGCTTGGGCAGCGTCTGTTACTTAAGTCTGACATACAATGGAGTGTCCTTCACTGAAACGAACTTAAAAACCTAATTCCAACTGAAAAATGATCTCCGGTGTGAAACTTTCTCGTTAGGCACCAAATAAGGTATGTTTTCGTCTTCCGGCGTGGTTCAAACTTTTAAATCTCTTTTTCTTGCACTTTCTAAAGCATTGTGAACCAATTTTTAAACTATTATCTCTCTTAAATGTATGCGATGTCGAAAGACAAATCGATTGATTACTCCCCTCTCTGAGAGTAGTCAATAATATAACAAGTTGGAAGGAAAAAAAAAGCCGAATACTGTAAGCGTCGTTCACTAAATTGCGCTTTTGAAAAGAAGCTTACGTTTACTTTAGTATTGCTGTCGTTATCGGCATACATTTTCGTTCTAAAATGCCTTGTCTATCTCACACTGAGCGAGAAAAAATTAAACCCAATTCGCTCAACAAGGGGTTAATCCGCGTATACAGAAACAAAACATTACAATTTGAGTACAAGAAAACTTACCAAACTCTGAGCTGTTACTTTTTTCTCAGAACCTCACTAAAGAAGTGCGGTTATCTGTATGTGGAATATCATTTTGTCCGCGTGCACGTTAGTAATGTACTATTTATGTACCAGGTTATCCGGTGACAGTTTTTCCGTGTTCCAAACACAGGAAGTCCAAAAATTTATCAGTTAAACAACAAGGAAATATTTTGTGGGGTAATTGTCATACATCAAGACACTAACACATTTCTTGGCCTTCGCTTTATCAAAATATTTTTGGAAAAAATGAGAAGATAAATAAACTGAAACCATAGGCCATGTTCCTGTATTTGATAGATCAGCAAAGCATACAAACGTCACGTGCTTTTACCGTAAGTACTTAGTACTGGAAGTACTTAGTTGAGATCCGGCCCTTAATAGCTTCATACTATGATCAAGTATAGACAATAGGCAATATTGGAAAAATACTGCAATACTGAAAAAATAACTCTTTAAATAGTTCCAATTTAATCCGTTTCAGGCTCAAATTTTTGAAAGCCTTGAAATTTAGCCATGGCTTTGAAAAATTTGAATTTATTCAGTTGTGGACTTCGATCAGGATTTATCATGATATTTGCTTCCATTGATAATGTTCGTGTCATCACATCAAGTATTTATTGCCGTAGGCAGCCGGTATACATTTTAAGCATTTAACACGCTAGCTCATATCTATGAGGAGCCAAAGGTATTTTTAGCTCATTTGAGCATTTTTTGAGGCCAAGGTGAGTCACCCCTTTTTGCGGCAGCGATGAGACCATTAACCTCTTGATATTGAACCATTTCACCCTCGCAACGTCAATACAAACTCCCGTACCATCTGCCATTTATATTCCTCTGATTTGAGCTGTGAGCATCTGGTTTAAATCAGTCAGTATGCCTTGCTTATTTTTTTAATTATCCTTTTCAGGGACCGGCCCTTTAAATCGGGGCGGGGGGGGGATTGGGTCGAATGATTTTTTTCAGTGGTAGTCAGTAGTAGTATCAGTATCGGTGGGGGGTTGGGTCGAATGATCGAATGATTTTTTCAGTGGTAGTATCAGTATCGGGAGGTAAAGCCGGCAACGCCGATATCCTAGCATTGGGAGGTAGAAGAAAAGGGATCATAAGTATATTACAGAACCTTATGGGGGGACTAGGTTATAGTTTTATCGTGTCCGACCTCCTAGGCGATAAATAATAAGCGGTCCGTCAATGATAGGCTCTTTTACAAACGGAACAAACGGTAGTATTCCTGAACGCGCTTGACCTGCCTTTCAAAAATAAGCACGCGAGAGAGGTTGCATGAGGCAAAATTTTACTGCAAGTATATATTGTTTCTCCTCAACATGATAAATTGGTGAGATTTTGTTTAATTAAATCAAATCAGGCAATTAAAGCGTCCACTCTGTCCTTAGGGAACGCCCATGTAATGAAGACAGAAATTCATTAATTATTAATTATGAAATACAGTATGCATATAAACGAACTGAGACATCATGAATATCACCCGCTGATCATGAAAGCTCAGTCTATGTTCAACTCGAGCCGAAGCTAAATAGAAATTTGATATAGTTTTGATATCTAGTGATGCAAAAAGAGCTATCAGTAGGTCGCCATTTTCATAACTTCTTTCGTAGTTAGACTCGATCTGAGCAACGTCTCGTCCAAAACTACCGCTTGTGAAATGCGGTCGAAACTGTAGATTGAGATAACTTATACAGTATAAAAAGCTGGGCTATGCTAATTAAAAAAAATTATGAAATAAAAGTCCTCAAGAAAAGGCCATATTCATATAGGAGGGAGGTTATAGCATGAACTCTTTGACTCCCAGAACTGATTAACATATAACTTCTCCCTGAAAAAAATCCAAACATTATAGGGAAAATGTAATGAGAATACGCAAACTTATCAGGTAAGAGTTGTTATCTTAATTGATCTATCTCCAAATTCTGGTCATTTATTTACAAGGAAACTTGAAGCAGCTAGTGGGGAGAATTAACAGTCAGAACTTGGAAGTTCAAGGGTTAAAAGATTCAAACAAAAATTCAGGACCTTTTACCGCATTTACACCAAAGGGTAAAAATGTCATTAAAGCTGTTTTTTAAAACGTGCATAATTTGAATGATAGATCTGTTTCCTTCATGGGAGCCGCTTAAAACGATGCTCGTCCACTTCAAATCTAGCATATTGAAACTACAAGTCAGTGACTACTTGAGCCCTACGGAAAATTTAATTTTCAGTTCTGTTTCTGATTTTCATTTCGATAAACCCAGTTTAACTAAACATGTTTTGCTGGTGTCAAAAGGGGTATTAGTTTTGTGAAACGTAAACGAGGGTTTGTGCAAATAATGTAGGGAACGAAATTACTTTGATATTTCACTAACTGTTTACAGTTTCTTTTTCGTAGTTTGCTTGTAACATGGTTCAGAGATCTTCTCCTTTTCACCATGGATTTGTCGTTTCTCTTTGGTTCCATTTTTCTTCTCTTTCGACTCCTCCTTAGTCATTGCTTCTTCAATGGAAATTTCGGCTTTCTCACCGGTTTCCTTCTCAAGTTTTCGTAATTTTTTGATAAATATAGCTTCCAAGCTATAAAGAAGTTTCTTTTTCCAGGCAATTGTCTCCTGCTTGATCCTCTCGCGAGTAGTCAAGATTTTCTGGCTCAATTCCGCGACGGTTTGCTTTTTACGCGGTAACGAAGTTTTTTTCGCCTCAGATTCAACGATAGGTAACGGACTTGGAACTTTTAATGTCAGATTTTGGGATGACGATACGTGACAGTGGTCCATATTGCGCTGAGTACTGCCATTATTCATCTTGACCCCGCATAAATTGCTCGAGTCCACATTGCGAAGAAAGGCAACATCGTCCTTTGGGGAAGATTCATATTGAGAATCATGAACTTTGCTCTCCTCCAGGAGACTACTGCAGCTGTTCCTTTTATGGTGTGATGCAGGGGTCCTTTCAATAGGCTCCTTTAGTGACTGAGTGTCTTCATAACCATTGCTTATCTCAAAGGTGAGTTTCTTAAGAAGATCGTTCCAATATTTCTTATTGTTCTCAGAGAATATCTTGGGATCGCTTTTCCGAGGCGTATCATCTCGATTGGCAATAGAATGTACGGCCACAATTTTGGGAAGAAAACTATGGTCTATTGCATAACCACCGCAACTTTCGTTCATGCCGTTAGTTTCCTCTTCAGCGGGTGGAGGTGGTACTGCTTCTGACATAGGACAATCCGTTGGTAACATAGAACTGTCTGGAGATTGACACCTCTTTCCTAAATCAATGGAAACTTTGTTTTCTTGGCTATTGGTTGCTTTAGCTTTAAAATCATGGCACCTGACTTGCTCCCGTTTGGTCGTGGGTAATCTAATAGTCGATGACAGTCTCGTTTCTTCTTTTGTTCCAATTGTATGCAGAGCTTTTGGTCCCTTCTTTCCAAATTCCATCACGTCACTTTGGTCCACAGAGCAGTGAAAGTTTTCTGCGCTTCGATTTTTTTCAGGAGCTTTGGAGCCCCACCTGCCGTTTGCCTTGGCTACCTCTTCGATTTCTTCTTTGCTATGTGAATTGTGGGCTTCATTTGGACTATTTTCAAATTGTAGCTTATCTTGCCTCTGTTTACTATAGAACGGGAAACTCTTTGTTCGATAAAGTTCTTCTGCTGATTTCGTCCTGCGTTTCAGTAAATCATTAAGACTCATAACAAACCTTGAAGAACCATAGCAAGGTGTAGATGGACTTCTTTTTATCCCTGGACGTGAGACACTGACGTAAGAAGTCTGGTCATTTAAGGCAGACGGGGATTTCTGACAGTTGTCTCCGGATGCCTCGTGATAATGCGTCAGTGAGCCTCTCCGCTGTGGACCATAGTCGTTGCTGTAGTCACGAGAAGATGCGATCTTGGCATTTGTGTTTCCATCCAGAGGTTCCTTGGCGTACATTTCTTGCTTAGTCTGACCCAGAAATGTAAATTTCTTTCTTGTTTGGTGTCCATTTATTAGAAGTCTAGTGTTCGTGTTTGAGTGATTTTCAGACGCAGCTGATCGATATCGGCTGTCGTCTGGCGCGACTGTGTCATTGTTATTCATGTCAGCACAGGATGGTTCATAAAACACTTCATCATACGGATCTTCTCGGTTGCGATTTAACTTAGGTATATCACCCGATGTGATTACTTTCAGACGAGACTGATTGTTGAAAGTACCGAAAGTCAGACTTCCATCGTAGATGGGACCTTTATCCTTAATACCTCGAGTTCGAGGTCTCCCACGACGTAATTGCGGAACGTTTGATTCGGGCAATCTCGAGTATAAAGCTTCCGACTTGATGGAGGCATCGTCGAACTTCTGATGGCTGTCTTCTCTTGATATGGGGTAGCATCGACCAATTTTATTCACAGCCTTAGTTATAAACTTTTGATCGCATTCTAAATGGTTGGAAAACTCTGTGTTGCATATCAGTCGCTCCGTGGGTGAAACAACTGGGCGCTCCTTGAACTCTTGATTTTCTGGATTGCTGCTTTCATAGCAATAACATTTCCTTGTTGCGTTGACTTGGGGTTCTTCCTTTTGATCTGAGGAGGTTGAAATGGTGGTTTGGTGATGACGAATTACAGATTTCCGCCGCGTCGTTTTCACTGGTATACGTTGAACAAGTTGATTTCGTTCTAAATTCCCATCATAACGATAAGGTTGATAGGTTTGGGAGCACTCACATGCAACATAAAATTGCTCACGGTGTTTTGCAAGCGATCGTTTTCTATAGTTCTGTTGTAGTTCTTCATTTCGTGTTTGATTGAAGTCTTGGGTGTCCTCGCCAACTTTAGTAGAAAGAAAGTGCTTTATAGTTTCGTTTGACCCCATCTTGAGTCCAAAACACCTATCATGATTTTCAATGTAATCTATTTCTGCCTGGTGTGGTGGCACGAATTCCTCCTTCGGGTTTTCATGATGCGCCGAAGTATGGCATTGCTCACATTCAACCTCATCTTTCTTGAATTTCTTACGATTCGTCTTGCTTTTTGACTCCGGAACACTCTCTGTGTCAAATTTTGAAAGCTTAGAGTAATTCTTAGGGAGGCTATGCGGACCAATTTTACGCAATGTGGATGAAAAATCTCTTAACGCAATAGAGTACGCCCCAGAACTATTAATTCTATCTTTGAGGCTGTCGTGTCTTTGGACTGATTCGACATTTCTGGTTGCAATAACTGAAGAACCTCTCGAGTGCAATGTTTTTCGTGTTTCAGGTATCGAATGTGTCCCTGGTGTCTTCTTATGGATGATAGTCGGAGAAATTTTCACGAGAGGTGGAGGAGAGTCTGGGGGTCTGCGTGTCTGTGGAGATCTCAATGGCAATTTTGGGTCCACGTGCGAGTTTTGTGCTCTCACATTTATCACACGACTTGGAACTCCAGTCTCGATCGGAATAAGCTGCCTTCCTCCTTCGAGGCGTGATCGTTTAGCGAAAGCAGAGCAGCCATACGGGCTGAGAAGATCACAGCAACTACACACGCTCATATGGCAAGGCGATGGATGGTGGTGGCATCTACTTTGAAAACGAATTTGGTTTGTATCCACTGGCATGAAGACTGGTTGCACAACGGGCCAGCTAGTATCACTGAGGGCACTATGTAAGTAAGGACGATGAGGGCTGCCTGGCATACAGTGTGGGTGGAAAGATGAATTGGCCACCGGTGAGAGATCATCATTAAATGGTGACGAGCCGCAGGCGAGTCCTCCAGTAGAGGAGAGATGAGGAAAATGCATTCTTGGAACAGGTTGTTGAATGCGGCCTGCAAAAAAATAAAAAAAGACATTTGCAGACACGTACATTTAGTAGGTAATTTCTTTTCAAGTGAACAAAGAGGGTAAGTTTCCAAAGAAACTGTGGTGCTGCGTGATTTGGCTTGATCGGAGGAATTGACAATGTAAATTGGCCTCCGTAGAGAGTCTCTAAGGCTGACGTGTCAAGCGTTAGCCCCACATCGATCATTCACTCTGGCGAAGGGCGAACACTCCAACTGTAAACTGTAAAAACTCTCAATAGTGGCCAATTTACATTACCAACTTAGTGGATGAAACCAAATGATTTAATTTTTTGCTATCTTCTTTAAATCTTCACAGCTTAGACCGTGCGCTATTTCTAATTACGTTTATGGGTAAGTGCACAGTGCTACAGAAACTTCGATCAGAAACATCATGAGTTTGTCATTGGGGAGAGGCGAACACTACACTAGGAACTTGTAGTGGGTTTCCGTATTTAATCATTTACGTTACACTGATTAAATGCATTTTCAGTTAGCTTTAGTTCTAACATTATTTGAACCCTTTCCTCAAACAAAGGTTATTTAGGTATTTAATCGTGTTAAGTAACGCTTGATATATCAGCAAAATGATATCGTAAAACAGATGCATTGTATCGTCGATCTCGAAAAGGTTGAAATGCGCACAGCTCTACACATCGCATTCATCGTTCTCTATCTAAATAAAGGCAACCATAGACATGTTTTCTCAAACAAGTTTGATAATATACTGTTGCTAATTTTCATTTCAGATAGTTTGCTTTATTACGAAAGCGTTTTTCTGCGTTCACGCGAATGTTTCTCAATCTAAATGCAAACTCAAACTAAACAGATAAAGAAGTAAAGGAGAAAAAAAACTTAAGACTTAATTGATTTGAAATTGTACTGTCTGTTCACGTAGGCATTTTAATATTCCAAGGATCAAGTATAATCAATTAAGCTCCAAAAATAATAATAATAAAAAAGCATTCCATGTTAAATAAACGTTCAAGAAAGGAGTTCAGTCCATCTTTAGTCCGCCATATTTTCATCACATAACTCTTCCAGAGATTCTCAAGTCAGTGGTGCTACCCCATAAACTTTTAAGGCTGAGCCTAAACACGACAGATGTAAATTTTAAACTAGATGGAGTACACAGCAACAGAAAGATTAAATACTATTCCGGTTCTGTCACGCTAAGCAGCTCGACTGAACTGCTAAATTTTAATGGGGACAATAGCGCTTTAACTGAATGAAGGTAATTCTGTCAATCACGTTGCGCGATATGAAATTATTTCAGACGAAACACGCGTAATTACCATTCTTCCATGCAGATGGAATTTCCTCCATTGGGAAGGACACTTTTTTCCGCCTTCTGCCAAAGCCGATGTCTTAACGAGTAATCATGTCTTCATTACTCGACCACTACACACCTAATTTACATTTCTTGTTTAATAGCAAAAAGCACGTAATTATCCCAGGGATAGACTCTTTAAACTCCTTATCTAAAAGACCTCTACAGCTGAGTGAATAAACAAAACTATATCATCAGTCAATCGCAGCTGTCATTATCCCACATTATTTTCACTACAAATTGATCGTGCACTGAGTACTCGTTAAAATGTTCGAGAGAGACTAAGGGACAAATCAAAATGCCTTGTGATTATGCTTCGTCCATAAATTAGAGTCTGCACTCATTTGAGTGATTATCAAAGACTTAGCAGAGAAAAGCATCACACAAAAAGCTTTTCACAGCGAAGTGACATTCAATATGGATTATGTTCAGCAGAGAACACTGGGTTACAGGATTATTGTCTTAATATTGTCAGACAGGTGGAAATTTAACGGTCCTGTTTGCAATATCAACACCACGCACACCTGTGCGTCACCTAATAATGTTTCCCCTCTTGGAATCAAATTCTTTCCCTCGTTAATTTTCCTTGCTCTCTTTTCGATGAGAAGGTAGTGGTTGATCAGATGAGTAAACGCTTCCATTTTTAATGATCTTGGATTTGTTTGAAGACAAAACACCGCCATCTTAATCAGTTTTAACTAGGTCGACCATCGATGAAGACAAAGTTGATTACAAAATAAAACACAACCAGCTGTTTGGTCACATAAAGTATCAACTTTAATTGCTTTAAAAGGCCAACGGATAAATTAAAAGAATCTATTTACCCTTTCAATATAAATTTCGCGGTCAGTGATTGGTTAAAATATTCTCATTTTAACTGCAATTGAAAACGACAAATAATTACATGTGTTTGTCCAAAATCTAAATATCAGAAAATTATTTTTCAAAAACACCTAGTCATGCAAACTCTTTTGGTAATTTTCCCGACCTACGCACAGCTGTGAAAACATTTGTGCTACTTTAATTACCTTCACGGCTCTGCTTGGTCAGGATCTGGAAATTTTTTTTTCTCTCCGGCAAAATGATACTATTTCACACTGACTAAACTTTAAGTGTCACTTTGATCCGAAGTTCTTAAATGTCAGATATATATAATGAGACGCTTTACTTGCACCTAACTCTTTAAATCAATAGTCAGAAAAGAAAAATCTCTCCAGTCAAATAGTGTATTGTAGTAATGTGAAACCTTACAGATTACACTAATAATATTCCACAAAACGTCGCTCTCTCATACTCACACAAACCGTTGCATAAAGTTTTGTCTATTCAATTTCTATCCATATACAAGTATATAATGGAAATTGTTCTTTTGCTTTTTCATTTTTTTTTAAAAGTTTATTTAGCTTTTTTTATTTTTCAACTAATTAGACGTTCACTGGGGTCAAATGATACCTGCCTAGTATGAGGTCTCTATTATATCAACTGCTGCAAAATATTTATATGCATAATGAACTTGATGAGGCGGTCACGTCCCAGAATTTCCATGATGTTTAAGTATATCCTTACATGCAGGATAACATTTTCGTTGAATTGATAAAAACATGAATAACAACGGAAGATCCTAATTAAAACAAGAATTAAATATTTTCGAAAACTTGAAAGCAACTTGAATAAAAGCGGTCATCCAATATATATGCTTTGAACCCATTAAGGTCACAAATTTTTATATTTTTCTGATCATTTTAAAAACAATTTATCAACTACAATCTGACCTAGTGGTGAAACTTTGCTTTCTGAGCTGCCCCAGTGTAGTTTTAGCATTTTATTGTCTGGACGAAATAGGATTAATTAATATTTCATTTCATTTTCATCTTCATTCAATTTATTCCTTTAAAAGTACGGCAGTGTTATCATAAAATACGCAAAGGTTTAAGCTAAATCAAAAGTACCAGAGAGCTCTTATATTCGAAATTCCAATTTCTCATTCTGCTTTTAACTACAGATAGATCTATAGTGACTGCTTCGTGATTTTACGTGCCTCTGAGATTTCCCTGCTGATCCAACTGCACAATAGTAATTGTGTTGTCTATAAAAGTCATTAATCCTTTAACTCCCTCGAGTGACCAAAACAGAATTTCTCCTAACAATGCCAATTCAATATCAAGTAGAAAAGAGATGAAAATAAAGAGAAAGATCAAGTAGGGGATTATTAGTTGATTTAAAACTAAACTCAGTGAAATAACATCTTAAGAATTTTATGACAGACAATAAGAAGAAAGAGACTTAAGGATTGAAAGAGTTAATGCAATTGTCGTAGGAAAGTCTACGTGTAGAAGTAACTGCACGATTTTTAAAAGAGTAGTTTTATAAATCTTTATCACAATTCCCACCACTGTCATTTCGCAGCGTCGTAAGTATGTAATTTCGTGTTAATTCCTCACGGTCTAAGCTTTAGGTATCTTTAAAAAACCGTCACACGTTCTCCTGTGACAATAACAAAAACTTATTCCCTGAAAATAGAGGTAATTGTGCTTCAATTTCATCGACACTGAGGAGAATAAGCGTCCTAGTTTATGGCAAACAAGCTGAATAACTACCCGACCGAAAATGCTCTATTTGTGTCAAATACTCACAAATTTTAAGGCCTTGCGCACGTAGCAGTGGATATTAACTGCCATGAGCAGAGAGTACCGCTACACTTTCTTGTGGGCAAATAAAACTTTTGTTGCTGAAACTATGCTGCAATACATTCGATGTTTCATTGTTTACATCTTAAATATGGTGCTACCCTACATTACATATTTTGATTTGTTACAAATTTTAATATTTCGTCCTAAAATTCCAGGTTAGAATTTCAAACACAATTATCAAAAGATTAAAAAAAAGATCAACGAAAACCTGTCACTAAATACTGTGCAACCAAAGTGCACTTGATTTTCCATTTTTCTGTTCTTGATTATTGTTAAAATTTTCCAAAATGAGAGGCCATTTCGCTTCTCTCTGTCTTCTCGGTGATTGATTATACTTAGCTACTCACTTTCGAGCTATCCGATCAGCGCGCCTTAAATTATGTGGTGATAAATGAACTAAAAATTCAAGTCGCCATGTCTGCAAAAAAAATTTCACTGATCCGTCCTTTGAAGAAAGAGGAAAGTTTCTTCTACTAAGGAGTGATAGATCTCCTTTCTTGTTTGGCTCTACAAGGTAACTGCTATATTCGTGGTGTTGCAGTTGAACCCCGAAAACTCGAACCCTCGGTAACTCGAATTCCCTACTAACTCAAAGCAAAACTGATTTCCCTTGGATTTGCCTCCTAAATTTACTGTAATTTTAACCCCTATGACTCGATGCCCCGATAACTCGAAACCCCGCTGACTCGAAGCGAATTTTACTTAACTTTAGATAATTTTCTTTGTAATTTTACCCTCAATAACTCAAAGTCGATTTTCACTTTTGCAGACTAATAAGCCATAACATTTTGCACCAAAAGATTACACTTAATCTCATTTATTCGTGGTTTTCTTGCTTTTGTTTTGTTTTGTTTTGTCGTTTTTATGCTCTTAAATCGCTAGAAATGTTACTATGCAATGTGTAAGCAGAAAACTCCTTTAATCAAGTGTTTCTGGCCTTTTTGTTCAAAACCCCTTTAACTCGAAACCCAGATTACTCGAGGTAATTTCAATTTCCCTTGGCAATTCGAGTTATGGGGGTTCATCTGTAATTGTAAATAGCACATTGACGAAGTTAGTGATAATCATGCATTGTTCATTTTACCGCTAATTTTTTTGGCACACATTATTAGCACTTTTCGTTACCTAATGTCACTTAACTTAGACATGTCTATTACTCCATTCGATCTGACGATGAGCTAACGCTCGAGGCATCAGCTTTAGAAACTCTTTATGGTAGCCAATTTACATTATCAACTCAGTTGAGTAAAAACAAATTATCATGTTATACTCCCCAACCGACGCAACTCCACAGTTTCTTCAGAAAATTATCCCGTTTATCAGTTCATTAGCCGTATATTTATATTCATTTGCTCACGTAATTTTTGGTGTGTGTATGTAACGATTAAAGGTTATCCGCCTATTAATAGTTTTTCCATTCTCTTTTCACTGTAATTTAGAATGAAACTCGAATTTTGGGGTGGTGGTGTTAAAGGTATTGCTAGATTAAAGAACGTTTTTTCATTGATCAGTACAGAATTTGCTCCAAAAGAATGTAAATGATTGTCAAAGATATGAATAGAGATGAGAAAAGATAATTAAAATGAAAAGATTCTATGACTAATAAAGGTCCTAGAAGATTATAATATTACCAGAATTTAGAATAGATAGCTTGTGTTTCCTCTCAAACGAATGCTGCTTTAAGTAGGTCTGGGTATGTGATACGAAACTTTATAATTACTTCGGCTCTTTCTTTTTTTTTTCTCGTGGTAATTGTTTTGTTTATGAAACCGGTGACGTGATCGTTTGAGTTGGCTTTTTATCAAAAGGAGTCGTCATGGTCGTATTTTAAAGATATCTCACATATAGGGTTACTTTTAGTTCGCTCGGTTTACTTATCTCTTAGTAAAGCTCTGCCAATAGATGAATACAATGCAAACCAGAATGACTCACCGTATAACTAATACTAGACAAGTTTGTTTTAGCTGAATTAATTTTGCGAGACTACAAAGGAACATAAATATAATTGCCTCGAGGAACTTTATGATTTGTATTCGTGATGAATACAAATGAAATTTCATGCTGATTCCCACTGTTCCATTTTAGTTTTCCTTAACCATAATTTACGGGAACACAAAAAAAATTGAAATAAAATGAAGTGTTCGTACGCAACAAAATCGGCAAAAAAATACACTGAGTGGCTGATCAGAATTTACTAAACGTCTTTTGTATCCATTTAAAAACATACAAAAGCACCTATTGGACTACTGAGATGCAAATGAAGGAGGTACACTTTACTGCTCATTTCAGGATTCCAGTTTAGGTTTTATACCTAAATGAAACCCGTCGCTTATTTTCACAGTATCATTTTTTTGTCAATTTTAAGTTTTACTAGTGTCTTTGATCGCGAAAATTACATCGCCCGAGAATCAGCGGCAGTAGCACGCGCAATCCGATTGTCCGGATTAAAGTTCAGCTGTGTTTACTTAGCCCAGCATTCAATTATCTTTGACATTGCTCAGCTTGTTGCATAATCATAACATATGAAAAGAACGTCTTGATGATACCTTCCTAATCTCTGCTACAAGTCGATGGTGTTCTTACCTCTCGCATAGCCTACGCCGGATTGTGTGTGCCGTGGGCTTCGGTTTGAGTCTTGAGTCGATAACATTTGATAAGACTGCTGAATACATCTATCATATCCATAGACATCAGTCATGTCGAGGGGATCGTCTGTACATGAAATGAGAATAATTATCATATTCTTCAGACCATTCACAAAAGATTCGTCTGTAAATCACTGCTATAAGTTCGTAAAATTACAGTTTATGGTCAGTTCTTTCAATGGTCAGAATTTTTCACATGGGATTGTTACGCAGACATGTAGGTGAAAGTATAAAGAGCAACTCTACCGCAATGATATCGTACAGGACGATTTTACTTTGTTTGCTGCCCTAAAAACGCCTCCGCTTGAAAGCGGCACAAATCCTGCACTACTATTAGACAAAGTTCAAATGAGTTTGTTTATCGACAACAGAATGGCGCATTTAACATGCTGAAGTTGATCAATCGAAACCTTTATAGAGCCCTACCACAAAAGCAGTCGATCCTGTGCACAGTCCATCATTCGTCTTAGATACATTCAATCGCTCATACACAATAGAACAATACCGGTTCTGATCTCTCTTATGTTACTTTTATGGAGCAATATATTCATCCATAATCTGGATCGATCTGACAATTAAAGGCAGACCATTGAGAGAGGTGATCCAGATGCCAGTTGATACTAAATTTACCTTTAAAGAAAATGAAATAAAAAAAAAAAACGCATTCTCTTTGGTAGACAAACATTTAGTTAAGAATGATGATGATTAACACTGGAAAGCTGACGAATTTGAGCTGCATGCTTCAAACTGAATATCCTTAGACGAAACCCATTTTTAAGGCACAGCACCATAGCAAAGCACTATGCTGTATACTTGCACTTTCAGTAGTCCCAATGAACTAATCGGGCTGATGAGCCCTCTGCAGTAGGGATTAACCTGAACGCTACTCTTTTAAATAGTTTCTAGGTTTTTTTTTCTTTGGCTTGGATGACTTTCGAGCGACGACTGATTCAAAGAGCATCAGGTAAAGAAATGGAACAAAAACCGTCTACATAAAGAAACATGGCGTCATCTCGATGCAATGGTTGTCACATAATTTAAAAGACAAATATGAAAAGGTAAATAAAAATTAATGTATATTGCGAGCAAGGTTGTAGCATATTAAGGAGATTTTTTGCTCCTTCACCCATCTTATTAGTTCCCCGAGGACGAAATGTTTGGAGAACTTTTTGTAAGTGAAGCAAGTTCATAACTTCTTGGAGGAGTAAATGAACTAAGGATGACATTTACAAGCCAAACTGAACCCTTGTTGGCTTTTACCATCTCAGCCTGATGATCCTTACCTGCGTGCGTCACTAGCATCCTGCTGTATAGTCACGAGGGTTTCTATTAGTTTCTAGAGAAACGGTTGTGTCGTGTTGATGTGCAAGAGAAACAATTAGATGGCTATCAAATATATGTTGACTGATAAAAGCAGGTAAACTTCCGAAGCGAATTCTGAAAAGCTTTTTGACGCTCCAAACGTCAGCTATTCAAACAAATTCGCTATGGCGTTTTACCTCTGTCAATCAACTTATGGTTGTTTATTAACTATTGTAACGACATTGCAAATCTCAACCGACTTTGAAGTCAGGTCTTTGCCGTGAATTTGGTCTATATTGTATCTGAGAGTGACACGTCACTCTGTCACAGTCTCTATCGGGCCTATCTGCCCGCCAAGCTAAACTTATTTAAACACCGATAATTTATCCGCGAGGTGCGACTGAGGACTTAGTGGCACGGCGTTTGAACTGGGCGACATTAAAGCAGCACCAGATTCATCTCTAAACTGATAAGAAACTCGTGGAAAGTACTAATGAGGTTCAGTAGGAGAATCACAGCAACGCAAAAATCAATCCTGATTTTGCTCAAGGAAATTAAAGGAAATGTCAAGCTGAAAACTTCTCAAGGGACAAGAAGATCAGCCTAAGGCACTATTGCTGTAACCCGATCATTCATTCATTTTTTTTTTCTATTTTTTTCGTTAATATCAGGTGGCCATAGGATCGATTACCGTTAAAAAAAAAATGGGAAAAAAAAATTGAAGGGAAAACTCGTGTAAAGAACAAGGTTATGTAATGCACCACGTTTATATAAGTTCTGAATCATAGTTGTCAATCAGATATAGGACCTCCTACTGCACGGCTGTTTGCTTATCAGAAGTGATCTGTAAATCCATATTTTGACAGAATTATAATTGTATCACGGGCTGTAAAATGGCTGTTCCTATTGTTTCACAATCTCCTTCCCTCCAGTCACTCCCGCTCTCAACGAGAGTATATGACAAAGAGATGACCACAACATAAAATCTCTTAGCCGAAGGGGGCCTAAATGTGTTGCTTAAAGTTAGTTTAAGTATCCGGGATACCTGATGTGTTACAATCTTAATCAGTTCCACTAAAGTGCTTTTCCTATGAGGTACTGTTGTATTAATAACTCTCGAGTATTCTGAGCCCTTCAACGGAAAGCACTCTGAAAGTGCACAAGCTTCACATGACCATATGAACTGTATTGAAAATGAAAGCAAGGCAGGCGAATAAAGACTGAAAAAGGTATCTTCCAGAGAGACAGTGTTGATAGTGTTTAACTCTTCCCTGCAGGCTATCACGTCTGAAAGATATGCTAATGAAAAAAAATGACGCAAGCGGAAGGAAGTTGAACTTCAAAGCGAAAACTAAGGTACGATTTACCTAGCAGCACCTAAAAGAGGGCGATCGGTCGCCTTCGAGCTCAACTGAGGTTTTGGATCAAGTCAAGACACATTGATCTTCAAATATAAACTAAGATATACAAAAAAGAGGATTTGGTGAAACCGTAGCACTCCATAATAAAAAAATTCAGTGGCTGTTACTACTGAACTGTGACAACAGAATCGCCTTAGGTGTTTTATTTTCTTTTCTTCCACTGATTTAATGACTCTGGAATGGCCGGTGATTGAGGTTTCTGTTGACTAGGGTGACGGTGATGAAACATTAAAATAGGACGCGGGCACTAGTTCCAAAAGTAAGCTAAGAAATTCTCACTCCGTCGTCTCATTTCAATCTTTACCGACAAACTTTTAGGGCATTTTTATCTTTCGTGACTTCTCTTTCTCTATGGACGATTAAATTAATTGTATAAAAAACAATTCCGAAATGTTTTTGGAAAGCTGAATATCACATCTGACCTTCGCTAATCTTATGACCGGAAATTTAGAGACGTTAAAAATAACTTAGTCAAATTTCTAGAGCACTCTTTGCAAGATAAAAATGTACTTTGTTGCAGAGAAGCGCCACCTCCGAAGAAAATCGGGGAAAATGTTGAAAACATATGATTAATTACAGTAATAAGTGTTTCTCGTGTAAACTTCTTAATGTAAAATAATACATGGCAAAGAAAAACGGATAATTGAGGCTGAAATTATCATAATAGGTTTCTTTTATCAAAGATAATGTAAGTTGTTGCACTGGATTTTTGTAGCTACATCTCTTCGTAGAAGAGAAATAGCTACTATATTGTTGTCAAATCGCCATCGGATCCTTCAAGCATGTGACTAGAAGCCATCAAAGCAGAGAGATTAAAGAATTATTAAAAAGTCTTGTACAGCTGGTTGTTCATCGATCTTATTAAAGTCGTTTATCGCGTGACATAAGAGTGAAACGCGAACTAATTAGAATTTCTTTTGGTTAAATATTTCAGACGCACAGAGTTTGAAAGATGTAAGGCGAAAAGCTGAGATTCCAGGGTCCTTCTTTGGGGATTCTTTACTCTGTTTGCTGTTACATGTTCATGTATGATACCTCGTGAACCATTTCTCAACCCATGGGAACGTGTTCGAATGTCAATCAATTACGACTCTTTCTTTGCAAGATGCATGCTTAAAATGAGAACAAGAACTCTAAAGTATCCATGCTCCATGGTTTCTCGTAATGTCCGAATCGCACGGTTATTACTGGGTTGTATAAATCACTTTCCTTATGGATAAAAATAATCTCTAAACTTACATTTCCTATGTTTACTTTATCGATCTGCTTGGTCTCTCTCCTCGCTGAAACGCAGAAAACTCCAGGCTATACAAATGTAGACATCTCTTTCTCCTCTGGTAAACAAACGCCGGGATGAAACGCTGTTTATGTTTTGCTTCAGTGCTAATTAAGTAGGAGCCAGTAAGAGATAAATTACATAACCACCACCTGTTCTTGATAACTGCATTGTCTCCCCTCCCTCTTGCCCGCAGTCATTTAATAACGCTTATCGGCGTTTATCTGCGATAATGCCACGTATAACTCACAAGGTGTCATGGAGGTGCATAAACATACACGATATCAATCGACCTATCACGAAAACTGCGTCACAACATTCCAAATTGGGGTAAAAATAGTAATTTTAGAATATAAAAGTGAAAAAGAATACAGTCATTTGATGGAGATCACATTCAAAATTTACTGGCAATGTTGAATGTGAAAACTTCTCAGTGCCTCTGAGAACTTCCCGGGATAAAGATAATACTTGGCGATACGGCTAGGTTTTCGGTTTTGAAGGCCGAGATTTCCTTTTACTGTATAATGGTTCGCTGAAATCAAAGTTTCCAGCACGCTAAAAGGGCGATATCGGTCGCGATATATGTAGCTACTATCGATATCGGTCGCGATAAATGTAGCTACTAAGAACGATATTTTCCCCCATATAAAGTTGCTTTGAAAAAGCGAAAAGAACGATATTTTGACCCCACAATAACATATTACTAAAAAGAGCAGTCGAGTGTTTGAAAACCTGGTTTTTGCATCTCCGTTGGTCACGCAAGACAACTTTAGGTCCTTCAGGATTGTATGTTTTTTACAGCAGTCAGTTGCTGTGGTCGGTCTAGACAGGTTGACGGTTTTCTCTTCAAAAAAACTATCTGGACAGGTCAGATAGGTCCCGTTGTTGACAAGAATAATCAGAGAAATATCACTAAAAAAGTATTTTGTTTGCCGTATACTAAGACAGGCGACCGAAGCTTAGTAGGCTCCAAACGGTTGGTAAGCACTGAATTTTCTAGTTAAATAAAATTGACATCAACAGTTTTTAAAAATTGCAACCTGGTTTTATAAAT